ATTTTTATTTTATTATTATTTTTGGGTTTTTTTTTTTGAGATGGAGTCTCGCTCTGTCACCCAGGCTGGAATGAAATGGCATGATCTTGGCTCACTGCAGCCTCTGACTCCTGGGTTCAAGCAGGTCTCCTGCCTCAGCCTCCCGAGTAGCTGGGACTATAGGTGCATACCACCACCCCTGGCTAATTTTTTGTATTTTAGTAGAGATGGGGTTTCACCATGTTGCCCAGGCTGGTCGTGAACTCCTGAGCTCAGGAAATCCACCCACCTCGGCCTCCCAAAGTGCTGGGATTACAGGCATGAGCCACTGCACCTGGCTGCTCCTTTATTTTAATCCCTAAATATATAATCCCTAAATATAGTTATATTTCATACTTTGTTTTTAAAAAGTTTTCTCTGTAGAAGATTTTAATCTTTCATACCCTTTACCTTTAGGTTTTTCTTTCTATACATTCAGTCAGGCACTGGGATCATCTGTTTACAGGCATTGTATTTATTTGGCACTCCTGCAACAAGTATATCTAACCCATTCTTGATTTTTGGACTATTCAGGTGAACTGTTTGAGGGGTGTGGGGTCTAGAAGTTAAAAGATAAGGATGTCTTCTGTCCTTTTCCCATATCCATTCATTCCTTCATCTCTTTGCCAAGTTGTTTTCCTTTCAGGGCCTGTCCTTCCAGTTTAGAACAGTACCGTGAATCCCACTTGTGTTAATATTAAAGATAGCTGAGATGTACCTTTCAAATGGCACAGTCCCTCTTCAACATGTCTAAAAGAATGGTTATGTCTGTCCAGTTAGGGATTTCACATCCACATGTAATCATGTCTGCTGCTATTGCTACCCAAATTTCCAGTTCTCCACATTTTGGGTACTTAAGCTAAAACGTAATAGCCTCAGTCTTTGTAATCCATTCACATTCCTCAATTTCACCACCTCCCACTTCTAGACTGCACTCTCTGTCATCAGTCCTCTCCTTTCGAACAGAAACAGGGTTATGATTTTGAAGGCTGTGGGTTCAGGGAGTCTTTGTGCCAATGCTGTTGGCCCTAAACTGTCAAGGAGGCTTCATTTCACCATTCGATTTTTTGCATTTTAGGAGGCAACTGATTGTTTTGGTATGTACAGATTACTCATGTATACCCCATTTCCTTCCAGTCAGCCCAACATTTTCCACCAGTCTATCTGTCCCCATCTCTGAAATCCATCCTTCTCTTCCCTCTAAACCTTTTGAGTATCATCATGTACTGGTGGTTTCTCGGTTCCATCTCATCCATTTCGTTTTCAATGGAGACTACAGTGTCAGCCAGCTCAGCCTTGGCTTTTAACTCAGTATTCCAGTCCATAGGGTGGTGAAAAGTTGCTACAAGGCTGCAGGCACTGGCAGTGGGAAGAGGCAGATGACTAGATGGACTTCTGTGCTTTTAGCTGGTTGACAAGTACCACTCCCACTCTGAACAACATCTGGCCTTCCCTGCAAAGAGTGTACTGTACTTGAAGCAGAGCACTCGCACATAAATGGCTGTGTATGGAATTGCTTGCCAAAGAAGTTTCTAGCCTTTCCCTTTCCCCTAACTGCATCAGGGAAGAATTCTTATCTCTAGCTTGGTTTCCACATGAGGTTTTTCTGAGAAAGGGGCCTGGGACAAGAAGTCTGTCATGTAGTTAAGTAGGCAAGAAATCCTACTAATCCAGTTTTGTTTGAAAGTTGTTTGTCCATATGATTTTTTTAAAGTCAAGTTTAATTTCAAAAAACCTTTTTTTTCTGAGATTACTTTTGGGGTAATATTTAAAATGAGAGACATTTTGTAACCCTGTAAAATACATAGGGAATATAACATTCCAGTGTATACAAAGAAGGCAAATTCTTTAATCAAATAAAGAGCATTATAAAATGAGATGTTTATTGGATTCTTGACTCACTTTGGTGTCTGCTTGTTGATTCAGGATGCTGTAATGGGACCTAAGATTAAAAATTAATGACATGTTTTTTTTAAGAGAAAATAATCTCTGAGAGTATTCATTGCCTTTTCTCCATATTATATGTATTGTGCTTCCTTGTGTATTTTTCTACATTTGATACATGCACTCCTGACAGTGTAGCTTTTGAATCTGATGCTACTTCTGGCCTTTTGGGGGATTGGAGTCTTAATTTTGTCAGATGGCAGTTGGAGAGTCAGAAAAGTCAGGCTTTATCTTTAATCCTGGAGTCTTCTCTTCCCCATTAGACCGTGATGAGAAGTGTTCCAGGGATGAGGGATAATGGGAACAATTTTTGGGAACTGTTGATAATTCCCTTGGGTAAAGCCACTTTTTTTTTGTTTTTTGGTTTTTGGGTTTTTTTTTTTTTTTTGGTTTTTTTTTAAGACAGTCTTGCTCAGCCGCCCAGTCTGGAGTGCAGTGGCGCGATCTTGGCTCACTGCAACCACCATCATCACCCAGCTTCAAGCGATTCTCCTGCGTCAGCCTCCCAAGTAGCTGGGATTATAGGCAACCGCCATCATGCCCTGCTAATTTTTTTTGTATTTTAGTAGAGACAGGGTTTCACCATGTTGGCCAGGCTGGTCTTGAACTCCTGACCTTGTGATCTCCCCGCCTCGGCCTCCCAAAGTGCTGGGATTACAGGCGTGAGCCACCACACCTGGCCAGAGCTGCTTACTTTCTTATGCTTTTTTAAAATTTAACTTGGAAAAACTATTGAGTGTCAAAACATTGGAAGGCAAATTATTCTCACTTATTAATAAGTATCTGGGATGAGAAATTTTTAATTTAACATTGAAAGCTAAGATTCTGATTTTTCCTTGGTGAAAAAGTATCTGGTCGAGTGAGACTGTAGCCTTACTCGAATGAAACGATTAAGGTCTGTCATTCCTTTACTCACTGTAGCTTCAAATTTGTCAACCCATGCATCTCTGATGGGAAACTTTGCCCTCCAATTAATTTTTAAATTGTGAACAGTTTTAAAGTTGTTCACACTGTAGGTAGGGTCTGAGATTTACAGGGTTGCCATAGAATAGCTTTTTATTAAACTTCACATCTGGCAGGGCTTATTGGAAGGAGACAGGAGAAAAATGGAAAAAGTCATCCTCAAGAAGATTAAAGTCTAACTAGAAGCAATGACTATACCTGCTTGCAAAGCCTTTTTTTTTTTCAAGTTAGACAAGTGTTAACCACAGCTAGTACTAAACATGGATCTATATGAGAGTAGCGAATATGGCTTCTGTCTTGTAGGCTTTAGAGAAATCACAAGCAAAATCTCACAAATGATTTTCTTTTGCTATGCACATCTGTCTCATTACAACCCCCTCACCCCAAATTCCCTCGTCTTAGAAGATCCACAAGTAGGTTTGTTGCTGTGCATTGCTGTTACCCAAGGGCAGACAGCAACACTACAAACGTCTTAACGTCTTATTCTGGGGAGTTGGTGATTGATACGGAGGTAGGCCTTTAGGAAAATTAGACTATCTTTCCAAACCAGGCTGTTTTCCCTCACACAATCACAAGTCAAGCTATTAGAGTTTTCAGAAGCTTGGGCCACTTCCCCCACCCCCCACCAAAGTTATTTGACCTGCTGTTCTTAGGGAAGGGGCTAAGTGGTTATTTAGGGTCTAAACCAATTCTGGAAAGCTGCCCTAGGTGTACTCTGTGATCAGATTGATTACCAAACCAGGACAGGGGCTGTTTGAAAGAAGCATTAGAAATTCAAGACAATGAGAGAAATCGAAATAGGTCTTGTTTCCCATTCTTTTGCCCAAATGAATGCTTGTTCTTTTCAGCTCATTAGGAAAGCCCTTAGCCTTGGAGGTACACAAGACCAGTTTTCTGTCCTCCCCAAATTTCCCACTCAGCTTGAATGAGTGTTAGCTTTGGGTAGAAACAGACTGCAATTTCTAAGACAAGCTGAAAAGACAGCTTTGAGCTTTTCCCCAAGTTGTTGCAGGGTCATTGCTACCACCATGCCTACACCAATGATGGTGACTTCAGGATCCAGAGGCCAGAAAGGGATAGCTTTCTGGAAGAGGGTGTGTATCTACAAGGATTGCATGCTGTATGAGCAATAATCACCTCTCTGGGGCTAGAGGGAGTACAATTTGAGAGGTGGGACAAAGTGGGGAATGTGCCAAGGCAAAAGCAGGAGTATGGAAATCCACTCCTGACATTCATAACCAATGCAGAGGGCCTTAGAAAAATCCACTCTTCCTTCCACACCCAGGCTTTGCCCTCTCCCCCTGCTTCCACTTCGGAAAGTCTGAAGCAAGCCTGGAAAGCTGTTTTCTGCTTTCCTTCCCTCTCCTCCTCCTCCTCTCCTGAGCTCCCAGCTGCTCGACCTCTTGCGTAACTATGAGAGAGCACTGAGTTTTTTGATGGGCTCCAGATGTGGAGCGGGGCGGGGATGAAGAGTGGGGGCGGTAGGTCTTTAGTCCCCTGAGTGCTCTAACTGTGGGAACATAGAGGCCTGACACAGCAGGAGAGAGGACACATTGCACAGCGCCTTTATCATGGGGTCAGCTGGTCCCTGTGTTGGGAGGACAGTGAGAGAAGTTGGGTGCTGTTTCGACCCTCTGCCTCAGCATCTGCTGCCTCCATGGCAGGCTTGATTATTCCCTGAAACTCCTCCTGCCCAGTACAGTAAAGAGGAGCTGGGGGTGGTGAAACAGAATGAAGTGAAAAGCCTCTGAGATACCACAATCTGGACCCCTCCCCTCAGTGCTGGGTCTTGGCACAGGGGATACAACAGTTTGGGTTTTTTCTTTCTTCGTTTTTTTACATACCCGAATGGGCTATTACCTTTGTGATCTGCCTCATGAAGGTTCACCACAATTACTTTCATGACTTCAAACAATATGAAGAAAGGAAAAATTAAGAGTCTCACTCCTCACATCCTAGGACTTCCTGGTACCCACAGCATATTCTGGAGCTTGAGTGTTCCACCTCCATTAGCTATAGCAGGTGGCAGCAAAGGGAGGCCTCTCCCCTCCCCCTCCTTGTCTGCTGCTTGGCCCTGGTCAGCTTCAGTCTCCAGCCGTGGGGGGCCCCCTGCTAAGGCCAGCCCTGTCAATGAGTGACCAGAGATTCCTGTAGTTCAGCCTCCTGCTGTTCCTGGGTTAGGGAGAGACAGCACTAACTAAACTCATTGAATCAGAACAGCACTTGTCCATCTCAAAGAGGAAAAATTATTTTTTGCTATCCACCCCAGCTGGAATTTAGACCAGACTTACAGGCTTTCTGCTCCTTCCTTCAGTGAAGAAGAGTCTCCAGGGTCCCTCTAGTGCAGGTCAAAGAAGTCCAGAAGTCTAGCTGAGTTCAGCTCCCTAGGGTCTCCCCAGCCAGTCTCCTGGGCCAAGAGCTGGCTTTGCAAGGTAAGGATCCACTGTCAGCATTGGATTTCGGGGTGGAGGTTGAGATGGAGAATGACTTCAACCTAGCTCAATTTGGGGGCCGCTTTTAAGTGTTTAGTGCTTCCTTCTCTTCCTTATTAACTCCCACTCCTACTACAGGTTGGTGTGCTCAACTGTAAGTCTACAGCCTGCCTCCATATCCCAATCTGTAACCAGCAGGTCTGTCGGCGTGGATGGGTGTGGAGCTCCATGGGTGCAAGATGATAATTCCATTCCGCTTTCCTGTGCTTTGGAGTTTGCATGGTACTTTAACGTGTCTTCTATCCTTAAGAAAGTCTGTGAAGCCTGATGTGCGTGGTTATCAATCCCATTTACAGCTCTTCATGGTGGGGCTTAGAATGGGGCGAGGAGGGGAGGGGGTGACAGGGAGAAGACCTGCGTACCCTCAGTAGATGTTCTGGAGATATTGAGAGCATGTTGTAGGGGCTTCGATTTAGGAGGTTCACTAGGAGCCTGTGGAGGTTTCCGGCATCAAAGGCAAAAAGAAAGAGGGGAGAGTTTGGGGGCGGGGAAACGGATTGTCAAAAACACCCTCTCAGAAGCGCGTTAAAGCCTAGGAGTGGAGGGTGGTCTAGGAGAGTCGGGAGGGCAGGGTGAGAGGAGAGGGGGGTATGTGGTCTTGGTGGTGGCCGTGGTGGCGGTGGTGGTGGTGGTGGTGGTGGTGGTGGTGGTGGTAGTGGTGGTGGTGGTGGTGGTGGAGAGCCCAGCTGCAAAGATGAACAAAGCGGGCGCTGTGCAGGCTGGGGGAGGTGCTGCTGTGGGAAAGGGTGGGTGGGGGGACCTTGGGCTCCAGCCCCACAAGGGCGTCTTCTTTGGCTGGCCAGGCGGACGGGATGGGGGACGGGGGCGGGGACTGGCGGGAGCGGGGCGGGACAGGCTCGCTCTCCTCCTACTCAGCGGGCTCCCGGGGAAAGGCAACAGTGTCCTCCTAAGCCTGAGGCCACCGCGACCGAGCCGAGCCGGGCTAAGGGACCAGTGTCTCCCTGTCGCCCCCACCTCTAGGTAAGAGTGCCCCCTCCCACTACACTTGCGGGTCCCATTCGCTGCGGTGCTAGGACTGGATAAGGGGAAGTCCCTGGGGCCTGGCGAGAGCCCTGAGATCAGCTCTAGGCTAGGGAGCTCGGCAGAAACCCGTGGGGGAGTGAGGGCACCCCAGGTGAGTGCGTAGAGGCGAAAGGGGCGTTGTGGGGAGTTTTCCTGTGAGCCGCTTGCTTTTGCCTTCCTCGGCCGCTGCCAACGCCACCGCCAGAGGGGGCCGTGGCGCTCTCCCCCGCTTGGAGAAACGCTGATCCTGGCCCCATCCAGACTCTCTCCCGCGGGCACCTAGGCGGCCGGGCGGACACTCGCGGGGTGTTGGGTGGCGAGCGCGCGCGCGGGTTTTCGTCCTCCAGCGCCCCACACCTCCCCCTGTCCACCCACAGTAGGACCTTGGGGAGTGGGGGTATCTCCTGTGACGTCTTCCCCCTGTCCCCAGGCCGGCCGCCTTGATGGACCAGGAAGGGATTCGGAGTCCGGCTCAGAGTCTTGGGCGTCTAGGAGGGATGCCTAGGGGTGTCCAGGAGATGGGAAGCCCGCCTGGGGCCTCCCAGGCACTCCCCAAGGCCCCACGTCCTCGGGGGCCGGGGAGGCAGCCTGGGGCGCCTTGCCACGCCGCGCCGTCCGGACTAGAATCTCTAGAGTTCCCCCGAGCGGAGGCTGACCCAAGTCATCTGGGCTCCCCCGGGATAGGAAAGTGCGGGCGGGCGGCTGGGTGGGGGCGCCGGCGCAGGGTGGCCGAGTCGCCCGCGGGCGCTTCCGCCGAGGCAGGCTCAAGTGGGGACTTGGCCCGGCGACCGCACAGCCCGGCCGGGGACCCACGGCTCCGGGGCGGGGCTGCATTCTGGGCCGTTAGCTCAGCGGTCCTGGAGCCTCTGGAGGCTGACTCATTGGACGGCGGGCTCACCCCACAGCCGCCACACGCAAACGCAGGCGCCCCACCACGCCGAGCTCCCACGCGGCACACACGCACGCCTCCGCGACACTTCGCATACCTACGTCCCTGCGTCACGCCACCCAGACACACCCGGACCCGCCCACACGCCGAGGCCTGCCCACGCACTCCATGTGCTGCGCCTCACAGGAAACCGCCCCGCCCTCATGCAGCCCCTCACACCCGCAACCCCGCTTACACGCACCCCAGCTCACACATGCACCCCAGCTCACACATGCACCCCAGTCACACAGCCCAGCTCACACACGCACCCCAGTCACACACACAACCCAGCTCACACACGAAGCCCAGCTTACACACACAGCCCCAGTTACACACACAGCCCAGCTCACACACCCAGCCCCAGTCACACAGCCCAGCTCACACAAACAGCCCGTCACACACACACAGCCCATCTCACACAAGCACCTCGTCACACACACACAGTGCAGCTCACACAAGCAGCCCGTCACACACACAGCCCAGCTTTCACACAGCCCAGCTCACACACACAGCCCAGCTCACACACACAGCCCATCACACACACAGCTCAGCTCAGTACACAGCCCAGCTCACACATACACCCCAGCTCACACACACAGCCCATCACACACACAGTCCAGCTCACACACACAGCCCATCACACACACAGCTCCTCACACACGCAGCCCCCCCACACATGCAGCCCCCTCACACACGCAGCCCAAGTCACACACAGCCCAACTCACACACGCAGCCCAGCTCACACATGCAGCCCCCTCACACATGCAGCCCCCTCACACATGCAGCCCCAGTCACACACACAGCCCATCACACACACAGCCCATCACACACACAGCCCATCACACACACAGCCCCTCACACACGCAGCCCAGCTCACACATGCAGCCCCCTCACACACACAGCCCATCACACACACAGCCCATCACACACACAGCCCCTCACACACGCAGCCCAGCTCACACATGCAGCCCCCTCACACATGCAGCCCCAGTCACACACACAGCCCAGCTCACACCACAGCCCCAGCTCACACACGCGGCCCCTCACACACATTCAGCCGCCCTTCCCGCAGCTGCCAGGCTGGGAACGGGAGATGTCTGTGGGGCCGCCCCGTTTCCCGGCCGCGCAAACAAGCGGCTCCTTCTCCTTGCCCCGCCAAAGAAAGGCCTCTTGTCAGGGGCGGGCGGGCGGCCACGGCAGGCGCCCAACACTGCGGCCTTGTCCCACGCGGGCGGCCTGGGCAGGAGCAGGCCGAGGGGTGCAAGGGGCCGCTCCCTTGCGGAAACCTCCCTCCCTCGGCCCTGCGGACCGCGGAGAGGCACCTTTCCACCACCGGACACCCACTCAACAGCCCCGGCTCCATCCGCGCTCTCCCAGCTCCCCCTCTCCTCGGGCTGCCCATCTCTCCTCTCTCCCGCCTTTGGGGTCCCGATCGGCCCCAGCCTCCCTCTCCTTCACCCCATCTCCCCGCCCGTCAGTCTCCCCTCCGCTGCCCTCAATACCTCCTCGCGCATCCCCAGTCCTCCCGTCTGTTGTCCCTTCCACTTGAGGACCCGCCTGTCCTGTCTCCCCCGACCCCTCCACCTCTGTGTTCCTCAGTCTCCCCGCCGCATCCTCTGCCCTCGGTCTTCCCCTCCCCAACTTGCGATTTTTGCATCCCTTAGTCGGCCTTTCATTTTCCCCTTCACATCCCAGTGGCTCCCCTTCCCCGCCCCGTCCCTCTGCACACCCCCATTCATCTCTGCCAGGTTTTTCTCATCCTTAAGTTCTCTCGTCCCCCTCCCCACTCGGGCGTGCCCCGCTGGGCTCCCCGCCTCAGTTTCCTTCCCTTCCTGACTCCTTCCTCTGCCGGCGGCCCTTTCTCGAAGGCGGATGTGCGCCTGGAGGGCGAAGGCGGCGGCCGAGAGGACCCCAGCTCGGCCTGGCGGGTCTCTGGCCACAGCCATGCACCGCTCGGGCCGAGGCCGAGGCCGACCCCCAGGGACACAGGTGAGGCCGGACGACCCGCGGGGCTCCCGGGAGCGCCCGAGCAGTGGCCTCGCGAAGGGCCGGGTCTGGTGCTCTGGGGCTGGCTTTGGACCTTGTCCTAGGACCCCGTAGGAGCCCGGGAGCTGTGTCAGTGCCCGTTGGTGCCGGAGCCGGTCGGTCCTTCCCCGGCCTCCTTCAAGCGCGGGCCGAGACCACCCGAGTTGACTCTGGGTGCTCCCCTCGGCGGAGAGGGCTTCGGACTGGTGTCCCGCGTGGCTGGGGTGTCGGCGCGTTCCCGCGGGGGAGGAGGCCGAGGTGCCGGGCGGCCTCGCGCACAGAGGGCCTTGCCCGTCGCTCTTCAAATCCAGACACCTGGGCCTCCGCCACTCGGCTCCTGGGGCGGCGCTGGGGCGTCTGTACGCAGCGTGCGCGAGGACACCCAGGGCCGGACGCGCACCGCAGGGGCCTTTTTTTGGCCGCGGGGCCGGGCGGGCGGGTAATGACAGCCGGGGTGCTGGGGAGCCGCGGGCCGGGGGAAGCGACGCCGCAGATGAGGGGCGTCCCTCGCGCAGCGCCACTCCGCCGCCCCGGCCAGGGCGGGGGTCAAGATGAGGGCGCCCCCAGGTGGCCGCTCTCGGCTGCGGCGATCGCCCTTTGGGGAAAGCACCGCCTGAGTGCAGGGCAGGTTGGCCTGGTGTCTCTTTCCACTTCTCTTGGATCAGGTTACTGTGCTGAGGCCACAGCCTCGTACCTCCCAATCTCTCCATCTTTTCTTATCTTCTCCCTACACCTCTCTCCTTATCTCTCCCTCTACTTTCGCCTCCTTATTCTCTTCTCTTCTCTCCTCTAATCACTCTGGTTCCCCTTCGGACTTACTCCTTTACAATCTTTATTTCCACTTGAAATTCTTCGGTGTAAATAAATGAGCACACCACAGCTGCCCCACATGGCGATAGTGACAAATACTCCAATCTGACAGATGAATTAAACTAAGGCCCAGACAGGTGAAGCGCCTTGCTCCAGGTCACACAGCTCATAACAATAAACGGGGCCAGGCGCGGTGGCTTACATCTGTAATCCCAGCACTTTGGAAGGCCGAGGCGGGCGGATCACCTGAGGTCGGGAGTTCGAGACCAGCCTGACCAACATGAAGAAACCCCGTCTCTACTAAAAATACAAAATTAGCTGGGCGTGGGGACGTGCGCCTGTAATCCCAGCTACTCGGAGGCTGAGGCAGGAGAATCGCTTGAACCCGGGAGGTGGAGGTTGTGGTGAGCCGAGATAGCGCCACTGCACTCCAGCCTGGGCAACAAGAGTGAAAGTCCGTCTAATAATAATAATAATAATAAACGGCATTTTTATTGTGCTTTGCTTTCATAGAATGCCATTTAATGTAATACCTGAATGTTCAGACAGTCCTTTTTAAAAAACTGACAGCTTTATTGAGGTATAATTTATATACTATAACATCCACCCAATTTAAGTATGCAATTCAAAGACTTTTAGTATATTTACAGAGCCATGCAATCATCATCACAATTTAATTTGAAAACATTCCCCCCGCCCCACCCCCACCAAACTTGTGTCCTTTTACAGTCACTTCTCATTCCACCCCTAGCCCCAGGCAAGCACTGATCCAGATAGTCTTTTTTTTTGTTGTTGTTACTCTAGTTTTATAGAAGAATGACTCGACAATCAGGGAAGTTAAATAACTTGTCTAGGATCTTATAACTAATAAATAAATAAATAAAGTCAGGGTAGAATTTGAGGCTTTATATATCCCAGTCTAAAGTTCTTTCTACCAAAGGATGATATTTCTCCTTCACCATTATTTATTATTCTGTTTTTCTTAACCCCTCTTTTACATAAACTCCCCATTCCTAACCCACTCTCTTGCCCCTCCTCACTCAGAAAATGCTGAGGGATTTCCCTGAGTCTAAGGAAGCAGTACAGCAATCTTTGTCCTTGGAAATTCTTCTCCATGGCAAGGAATTCTGGGAAGGTGCCAGACCAGCTTGGGGCTTTGCATAGGTTAATGGCGTTTTCCTCCTCTCTTCCCTGGCAGTCTTGGGGTGGGCCCCAGCCTGGGTTCCGGCCTCTCTTCCGCCAGCTTGGGTGGAAATGGTGACGGAGATGATGCAGTCCAGGTCCGGAAGGGTGGAAGCTGGGAGGGTAAATTTAGTAACACCATAGCTAAGGTCCTCGGGACCCACTGCCAGGGTCAGACACTCCTTGGAATGCTGGCTGCTGCCCCTACTTCCTTTCCAAGTCCCCTGGTAGATGGCTTGAAGAGAGAGTGGAGGGAAACCCTGCTTCCCTGGGTCTGCTTCCTTACCCCTCAGTCACACTCTTAGCTTTCCCCAGTAACATTTCAGCAGCAAGTGGGAAGTTTCTCAGCTTAGCTAGTTGGCCAAGGGATGGGCATGGGGGCACACATTAGTACACAAATGTCCTCACATCCCAGATACCAAAAACATGAGCCAGGGAGAGAGGGATGGGTGGTGGGTGAGAGGCAGTGGGGTGGTGGTGGGGAGGATTCAAGTTCTGGCTCTGGAATCTGTCTTACTCCTGGTTCTAATGGTCTAAGCTTCCTATAGCACCTAGCCAATTAAGAACCCAAGAGTTAAGAGCCCAATATTCCCAGTATTAGTTATCACTAAAGTTTTTTGTTTTTAATTAAAAAAAAATTTTTTTTAACTGATTGTGTTGGGTTGAGGTTGCTTTCTGGGGAAGAACAGGTGTAGGAGTTGAGACATCTGGAGATAGCAGGAATGGCTGAGTTTTTCTTTTGTGTCTCCTTTAAGAAAACATCCTACTAAAGCCCTGGGAAAAGAGACAAACGGTGAAGAGGAGAATGAAAGATTTCAGGAGGGAGCTCCTGTTTTAGCCCTGCCACCTACCTGGGGGCCCTCTGGCTACCAGTGTCCTTGGAGGGCCTCCTTGCTGCTTCTCCCACTAAGGTAGATTTTCCCCACCCTGCTTAAGGCTCCACAATGGCCAAGGGTCTTCAGCTGTCAAAATCTGGGTTCTGAGTAGCATAGGGCAAGAAAGCACAGAGGTATAGATTGAGCCCTATAGGACTGTTTGTGCTTACAGTGGCAAGAGGCAGGACTGGTATGGTGTAGTATCCATGCTGTGGCTGGCTGGAGACTTGGCACTGCTCCCAGACAACTCCCACCCAAGCTCTTTAGCTGCCTCTACTTCCCTTCAGCATGAGCATTTGGGGAATGTTGGTGACTGGTGCTACCTCTGCCCTGAGAACTCTGCCACGGAACCTACTTCTTTCCCTCTTCTGCCCTGGCCTCCCCGCTCACCAGCTTTCTGCTGTGTCCCTAGGAGCTCTGGAGCCTTAGGACCATGGACACTCTCAACAGGAACCAAATAGGCCCTGGATGCAAGACCCAGACCATGGTGCAGGTGAGTGGGATCAGGGCTGTGAGGCAAGAGAGATATGGTGGGGATGGGATCAGCTCTTCTACCCCCTTGTGGTCCCAGCCCAAGGATGAAAGGAGCAATTCTGTTCCTCTCTGCCCTTCCCCAGGTCCCAAGCCTATTAACAGCTCAGTCTTTATCTGAATCAGGTTAATTGGTTCACCCAGAAAGTACCCGTCGAAAGTCAGAAAGCAGTTTACAGATTGACCCTAGGCTGTATCACTCTCCTTGATCCATGCCTCTACCTTCCCTGTACTTGAGATTAGCAGGGGCAAGCAATGGCCAGGTGGATAGCCATGGACAAGTCTGCAGGGAGCTCGACTGGCCTTCCTCTACAGTACCCCTGCTGCTTATCCAATGCCACCCCCACCCCCCACCGCTTTCTCCTTGCTTCTGTTTTAATAGACAAAAGGGACAGTTAAGCCAAGACTTGAGATAAATCCAGTGGGACGAGTTAGTGGCCTAGATTCAGATCTAATTACAATGTAGTGGAATAATGCTCTGTGTAAGATTTTGTGCTAAGCCTTTCAGCACCCTCAGAGCCCTTTGGAGAGGGGCAAGGGCTGGAGAGAGTACTGGTGTGACTGGTTTAGGGTGGTAAGGTGCTGAGTCTAATGATGCTTGTCCTCCACCCCTACTACCTACAGAAAGGACCCTTGGACCTGATCGAGACAGGCAAAGGGCTGAAAGTGCAAACGGACAAACCCCACCTGGTGAGCCTGGGCAGTGGGCGACTCAGCACAGCCATCACCCTCCTGCCGCTGGAGGAAGGTAAGTGTGAACAGGGCATCTAACTCGTCACCCCTCTATCCTTGTAGGCATTCCTGCCCTGGAGGCCCAGCTCCTGCATGTGTTGGGGCCCTTCTACTGTCTGCTGGCAATGCTTGCCTCCCCACCCCACCAGCTTGCTTCCCTTCTCTCTGCCTCCCCAGACTGCCTGCCTTCCTTGGTACATAATCTGGTTCCATGAGTGGGCTTAAAGATCAGCTTAGAAACAAGGAGGAGAGGCCAGATGTGGTGGCTCACGCCTGTTATCCCAGCACTTTGGGAGGCTGAGGTGGGCGGATCACGAGGTCAGGAGTTCTAGACCAGCCTGGCCAATATGGTGAAATCCTGTCTCCACTAAAAATACAAAAATTAGCTGGTGGTGGCACGGGCCTGTAGTCCCAGCTACTTAGCAGGCTGAGGCAGAAGAATCACTTGAGGCCAGGAGACGGAGGTTGCAGTGAACCGAGATCGTGCCACTGCACTCCAGCCTGGGCAACAGAGCGAGACTCCATCGCAAAAAAAAAAAAAAAAGAAGAAGAAAAGAAACCATGAAGAGAGCACTGAGAGAAACAGGAGAACACATTGCTCTTAGCAACCAATGTGGCCAAGAAGAAAAAGGGCCCCACTCCAGGGCATTGGCTTGCACAGGAGGCTATACCGTAGGTAGAGAATGGAGAGATGGGAGTTGGGGGCAAGATCTCCCAAGATAAGGCCCTGGCACGGCCCCCTTCACCTTTCAGCTTCTGCCCGCCCTCTCTCCTCTCCTGGCTGCACTTGTTGCCTGGGTGATACTACATTCTCCACATTCTCCAAATACCAGTCCCAGGGGCTCTGTCAGTGGGAGGGGCTGTTCTTGCTGCAGTTAGGGGAGAGCCTGCACTGAAGAGAGGTTGCACTGAACAGAGAGGTTAGCGAGGGAGATGAAGTGTTGCAGGTAGCAGAAGTGGGGGAGAGAAGAAGGAGAGAAAGGGAGATTTAGAAGAAAGGAGGAGTAGGCTGAAGGGGAAAAAGAAAAAGGACAATAGGGAGAGGCAGTTGGGGGAATAAGGGAGGATGTGCAGAAAAGCAATCTTCCTTCTCCATCTGTGGAGTCTGGGTCTTCCCATCTCTGGGCCTCCCATTCTCAGGCAGAGTTTTCTCTGAGAAGAGCTTCTATCACTTACTGTATAGACCAGGCTCAGGGGCCCAGTAGGGGTGGCCAATGGTGGGCAGAGATTCTCCCTGGAGTAGGAGGTGGAATATGTTTCCACTGTGGCCCTCCTTGCCCTGTCACTGCCTCCTCAGCCTGGACAACCCTTCTGATTCAGTTTGCCTCTTGTCTCCAGGGAGGACGGTGATTGGCTCTGCAGCCAGAGACATCTCACTACAGGGCCCAGGCCTGGCTCCAGAGCACTGCTACATCGAGAACCTGCGGGGCACCCTCACCCTCTACCCCTGTGGCAATGCCTGCACTATTGATGGTCTCCCTGTCCGGCAGCCTACCCGGCTCACTCAGGGTAAGGCTGGACACCTCCAGATGGAGGGGGCCTCTGTTTAAAGGCTTGTATGTGTTAGGCACAGGGGAGACTGGCTGTAGTGGTTGCCATGGCAACTGCCTGAGTGCCCATACTGGGAATGGAGTACTCAGGTGCATCTGGATGTGCCTAAACAACATACTAAACCGTCTCAGCATCCAGACATGTTTTCAACCTGCTTTTCTTCTCTGGTCACCCCCAACCTGCCTCCACATACTATAGGGAGAGAAGAGGTTCTGATTCCCGCCATCAGAGGGCCTGGGGCATGATGGGATTGTTAGTGGTTGTTGGGGAAGAGCAATTGGAGCAGCAGTGAGAGGGTATCAATGGCATTGTTCCATGATGCCAAGAGGAAGTTGTTTTGAGAAGCTGAAGAGGAGGACAATACTTCCTGATGGGGATGGGGCAAGGGTGAAATCTGAGGACATGCCTGCTCCTGTTACGAGACTGCTGACAGTAGCTTTTGGGTCATGAATATAACCCAAAGCAATAGGCCATTCTGTTGTGTGAGGTGGCTCTAAAAACTAGGCCCCTGGCTGGGCATGGTGGCTCACGCCTGTAATCCCAGCAATTTGGGAGGCCAAGGCAGGTGGATCACTTGAGGACAGGAGTTCAAGATCAGCCTGGCCAACATGGTGAAACCCTGTCTGTACCCAAAATACAAAAATTAGACACATGTGGTGGCGCGCACCTATAGTCCTAGCTACTCGGGAAGCTGAGATAGGAGAATCGCTTGAACCTGGGAGGTAGAGGTTGTAGTGAGATGAGATGGCGCCACTGCACCCCAGCCTGGGCAACAGAGCAAGACTCCGTCTCAATAAATAAATAAATAAATAAATAAATAAATAAAATCTAGGCCCCTGATTACTATGGTTAGCAGGCAGGTAAGCGGTTGGCCCAGGTGGCACTTCGACAGACCAGGTGTGCTCACCCTGGAAACAGGGTTCTGGGCATCAGTTCATACAGTGAGTTGTCAGATTAGGAGAATGAGAAAAACAGATTTGGGTGGAGGTTAGAGGTGAGGTTAAAGGCTAACAGGAGGACAGGAACTTTGGGCTAAGCCTGGCTCTGAGCAGGTTCTGATGGCCTAGCATTGTTTTCTGGGGGCTCTTACTGCCTAGAAGCCCCTTGGAAGTGGCCATCCTACTCACTCCACTGTCTCCTTCTCTCCTCTTCATCCTCCTTAAGGCCTTTCAATGTCACTTCCTTCACAGCTGATTCAGGAGACCTGACCTTTCCCCCATCTTTTTTTTTTTTTTTTGATATGGAGTCTCGCACTGTTGCCCAGGCTGGAGTGCAGTGGCACGATCTCGGCTAACTACAACCTCCACCTCCTAGGCTCAAGTGATTCTCCTGCCTCAGCCTCCCAAGTAGCTGGGATTAGGCATCTGCCACCACACCCGGCTAATTTTTTTTTTTTTTTTTAACCCCAGTCTTTTCTTCCTGCCCTCGGGTAGGGGGCAGGGCATGCAAAAATTGACTTCAGGGAGGCAGGTCCACCAGTAGCAGCATGCAGGCCCTTGCCTTCTCCAGGACTTCACGGTCTCTGACTTTGGATGAGAGAAGGAATCCCCCAAAATTGGAGCTTGGCTATGATGGCAGCAGGTTCCTAACAGTCCTGTTCAGTCTCAGAGACAGCATCTTCTCTAAGATTTGGGAGCATGGAGATGAGACAGTAGAGCAGCAAGGAGAGGCAGGACAAAATTCAAAGAAGGCTCAGCACTTACTACCCCTGCCCCAAACCCATCACATTCCTCGGTAAGAACGTTGTTCCCCTGCATGTTGCGAGCAGGGTATGCTCGTGTTGTTCATTCTTTCCGGTGCATCATTTAGCTCCCTGAGAAGAGGGAGAGCCTGGGGCCAAGATGGAATTCTGAGGCATTTCCTGTGGCCCCAGTGACCCCTCCCGACTCTTCTCCAGCCAGAAGCCTACCCAGCCAAGTATGTACCCTCCCACTCTCTTCTGACCCTAAACCCCTTCCCATTTTCTCTCCCCATCCCCCATAGCCTTCTTGTCTGGGCTTGCCTGTCTCCAAAGCTTGGCAGCCTATGGAGGGGTAGGCAGAGGCACAAAGGAATGGGTGTTCTTCTCCCCAGTCCTCCCCCTCCCCTGGGCTCCAGGAGCTGAGGGTTTCCTTGTCTCATCTCTGGAGCAAGGCACCAAGCCCAGCCCTGCCTGGCCCCACTCCGGACATTCTTGGGAGTGTGTTTCCCTGGAAACTGGGTGGTTCGGGGGTGCATGTGCTATCTCTGTGTGTCTGTGTAACTGGAGTGTGTTTATGTAGCTCCGGATGTGTTTGTGACTCTGGGCTTACGAATCTCTGTGTTTGTGTCTTTCTTTGTATTTATGGATCAGTGTGTTCAAGTGGGCGGTAGGGGTGAACTCAGGACTGATGGTACCAAAATGTCTGTGTATGTACTCCTATGTGTGTATGAGACCTCACTGGTCATATGCCTATCTGTTGGCATATATACAAGAGGATCATTTTCCCTTCCTTGTTCCCCTAATCTGGCCTTGTAGAGGCGACCCTCCTCTTTGAAAAACAAGGGCTACCCTGGGAATAACAAGGAGCCTACTTTGGCCTTAGATGCATCATTCTGGGCACTGTGCCCAGCCATAGGCAACTTGGAGAGACACACTTCATGACAAGCAGAGATGGCAGTGACAGGCTCTTCCAGCAGGAATATGCTTGGGCCAGGGAAAGGGGGAGTCGGGCAGAAAACAGATGCCAACCTTTAGCACAGAGCTGTGAACATAGGAGCATGAAGTGAGGGAGCCAGGAAGGTCCTGATTCCACCCCCTGTACCCAGGCATCTTGGCACATCCCACATTGCCCTCTTCTCTACAGAGCAAGGGGTGGAGCTCGGAATAGGACCAAGGGAATGAGGAGGAATCTCAATCTGGGTCTAGGCTGCCCCACCCTGAGACCACAGCGCCAGACCACATGAAAGATCTGGGAGGGAACCAAGCAGGGGAGGACCCAGAAAGCCACCAGCTCAGGGCCCAGGCTGTCTAGACAGTAGGTCCCCATCTACTCCTAGCATTTCTTCCGAGCACTGGTCTCCAGTCTCCTTCATTCCCTAAGCCTCTCATTGGTGGGTAGGGGCTTATGTGGGGGCCGGCAGAGGAGTGTGGCTGGGGAGCCGGATCTCTGGGTTATCCAGCTGCCTCTCTCTGGGATCCAGGATATTGAACCTCTTTTTTTCCCACCCAGTTATTCCATCTGTAAATTGGGAGTGAAGCCTTCAACCTTTTTCTGTTATGAGACTGATAACAATCTTGACTAATAAAGGTCAAAGGAAGGAGGGCAGAGCGAAGGCTCCCAGCTTCCCACTTCTTTGTGTCTGCCTCCTGCCCTATTTCTCATTGGCGGGCATCCTCTGTGTCTGCCTAGGTCTATCCAGCTGGCCATCACAGTTTCCAGACCGATGAATCACTCTTCCTGAGGAGATTTTTTTTTAAGCCTCCCTTCATTTTGCATTTGACCCTATATGGTTCTTCCTTTTTCCTCAGAAGGGAATAAGATACGTGTGCACACGTGAACGTGTGCATGTGTATGCACATAGTTGGCAGCATGGGTGAGTGAGCTAGTGGGCTGTTCAGCAAGAATGGAAAACTTGCCTGATTATTCATCTAAGAGGTTGATTTTATTTCAGAGTTTCTCCAGGGACTGAGTGAAAGGAAAGCTATGCCTGGGTGAGTGTGTAACTAAAAGGAGTTGTCTGGGGGATGTGTGCATGAGAATAAAGGTGTGTGAGAGACAGACAGTGTGTTTAATGAGGGTGTCTGTGTGACTCAGAGCATGCAGAGATGAAGTAGTGTCAGCGTGACTGAGCAAGTGTTGGTGTGTATCTGAGAGACACTGTGTCAGGCTGTGTGAGCTGCCTGCTGAGAGCATACAACATTGTGTCCCGTAAGGCTCTGGTGTGCAGGGGCCAGGTCCCTGAAACAAGAGGAACTGGGGGACCTGGCTGGATGGTAGGTATTAATACCTGCCTGGGCTGGGTGCGGTGGCTCATGCCTGTAATCCCAACACTTTGGGAGGCTGAGGCGGGCGGATCACCTGAGATCGGGAGTTCGAGACCAGCCTGACCAACATGGAGAAACCCCGTCTCTACTAAAAATACAAAATTTGCTGGGTGTGGTGGCGCATGCCTGTAGTCCCAGCTATGGGAGGCTGAGGCAGGAGAAATCGCTGGAACCCGGGAGGTGGAGGTTGCAGTGAGCCGAGATTGCGCCATTGCACTCCAGCCTGGGCAACAAGAACAAAACTCCGTCTCAAAAAAACAGAACAAAACAAAACAAAACACCTGCCTGACTCAGAATCTCAGCCTGACTTTGGGGGCTCCAGATATCTGTTTCCCAAGTAGGATGGGTACCTTATTGGGGTCGGAGGGCTCTTTGCTGGGTCTAGCACAACTGGAGGCTGTGGCTGGGGTGCGGGCTGGCTTCCAAGGGCCCAGGAAGTTGGCTGGCTGGAAAGGGCAGTGCCTTGGTCCACTCTGGGTCATGGGTTGGGCTACGGGGAGTGGGGCCGGAAGAGGAGGTGTTTAGGGTGGAGACAGGAGGTGGGCTGAGTGCTTGCATTGTACAGAGCACTGCTTTGGCCTGAACTCCTAGCCCAGGGTGACCTTGTTACAGTGACAGCCTAAGGGCCAGAGCAGGACCTAGTGACCTAGCTGGACCTGTAGAGCCCCTGCTTTCCTCTCCTTCTCTCCCTCAGATATGGACATGGAATGTCAGAGCTGACTTTCGGTAGATAAGGAAGCCAAGGCCAGAGGGTGTGACTGGCCCAAGGTACTACAGCCAGTTAGAGTCGGCCAGCCCGGCTACCGCTGACCTCTTACCACAGGGGGCTGGGAATGAGACCCTGTCCTTTGCTTGGCCTCACTCCTGGCTCCTGGCTCTTCACTCTCTGGCCTCTGTACTTACCTCTCACCTTTCCTTCACTCAGTCACCTCCCTTGAACCTTTCCTTCCCGCCCACTTTTCTTCCTGCCACGGGTCCAGGATCCCAAGCCGGCTGCCTTTCTGCATCCTCCCGCCCCGCCCCGCCCTCTCCATCCAGCTCTCCACTCGTCTCCTCCATCACTTCCTCTTCCCCTCCTCCTCTCCTTTGTCCCTCCCTCCCTGGCTCCCTTCCCCCGCCGCTGGTGGCCGGCCCGCCCCTCCCCGGGCATTGGCGGCTGCTCGCTGCCTCGCTGCTCGCTCCGAGCCTGGAGCCGGCGGCTCGGGAGGTCGGCCCGCCCCCTCAAAGGCCCCGGGCGGGCCCGGGACCTGGAGGACCCGAGCTAGCGGGGGCGAGCGGTCCGGAGGTCCGGTTTCGGCGGTGAGTCCTCAGCCCCGGGCCAGCCACAGCCCCCAAGCCGCCAAGCCTGGAGAAGCTCAGGCTGGGAGGGGCGTCTTGAGGAGGGTGGGCAGGAGGAGGGGCATGGGGTCCTCTGACCTTCTTTGGGAGCTTGAGGCGGAGAGACTCGATTGTGTGTGTTCCCTGAACATTTCTAAATGGGGATTCTGGGCTTGGGGGCACTTCTCAGTCGGTAGACCTTATCTTCCCCAGCGCTCCGGCAGTCCCCTCCTTAGGACTCACCTCCCTCAGATGAGGTTAAAGGGTCCTGGTCAAAATGAGGGGAGTCTACCTTATGGCCAAGGAGGGTCTCTGATAGGAAGGACCAAGGCCCTTCCTCCCATATTCCCTTCACTCGGTCTCCCTTTGGCCAGTCCACTCTATTTGTGTGACCAGGAGGGCAGTGACAGTAGCTCTGAGAGTGTGTGAGCATATACGCCCATGAGTCTGTTGTGTTACTATGAGTGTGTATGAGTGTGAGCCTGTTTGTGTTGGTGTTTCTCCTCTGCATCTCTCACAGATAGGATTCACCCACTCCTTCGCCTAGTTTTTCCCCTCCAGATGTGCAGCTCCTCCACCCACCTGCACACAGCTGGACCCTGATCCCCTCTGGGCATGGGGGACACTGACCATGACTTTGGCAGGATGGGCAGGGGTTCCTGGGCTTCCTGAAAGGGCTGGCCTTTGGGGGTGTGGGGTGGGAGTGGGCAGAGAGGAGGCTTCTTCCCAGAAACAGGCCGGCCAGACCCCTAGGGGCTGTAGGGGCCAGCACTGGGGCAATGCCTGAAGCTTCTGCATGCAAATAGAAAGTTAATTTGGGCAGGAGCTGGGTTGCTGTCAGTCCTGCTGCCCTCCTGCCTGCTCTATTAATACGGATCCAGCTCTGGTGCCTGGCATCACTATTTATAGCCCAGAGGCAGCACGGCCACACCCCCTTATGTGGGGGAGGGTGAAGGGCTGAGGAGGGGGCAGAAAACACAGCTATAGGGGCCCAACCGAAGGATCCCTAGATGCCTACATCCTACTTGGGTGGGCCTGGCACTGCTGGACTGGAATCCACTCAGACTCCCCACCTCCTTCCCGGCCTGGATTGTGTGGTCAGGCTCTTGATCCCCACCACCCATCACCCTGGGTTGAGTGGGTCTGTCTAGACCCTGTGAACTCATCACTAATAAGCTTGTTAAATGGCTAAAAGGAGGGGGAGGGGCTTGACAGGGCTCTTTCTGAAACAGCTGTGGTTGTAATTATGTGGACAGTGTGGTTGGCTATCATTTATTCCAGTTATGAATACTGTGGGATCCTCTTCTCTGACTGGTGACTTGGCAGGGAAGGCTCCCTCTCTATCCTTTAGAATTGTTGTGTCTGGCTACCTGGGAGGGCCTTTGTGTATGCCAGGATAGTGAGTGGCTTTATCCACTATGGTTATCTGCCATGGGCTTCTCAGCCTACTAAACCCCCAACCCAAGCAATGCCCAGGATCCCAGGAACAGGCTCCTGAGCTTCTTAGTTAGGGACCTGCCAAGGTACCCACGTGGCCTGGGATGCCCCTTGCCCTTGTGGCCTGCCTGAGCTGAACTGTCTCAGCGTCCAGGAATGTAGACTCCTCTGCCAGTCTTAGACTGACGTGAAGCTTGGGGTGCCAAGTGGCACCAGATTGGGTAGACAGGAGGCTGAGACCGGGGGCCAGGGGTGTGGACAAATTGGAAGGATTGGTGGTAGAAAGCAACAGGGCTCTGGCTTCTCCCAATATAGTATCTTCTGTGGGAGCCCGCCAGCACCTGGTGTGGCTGGGAGGTGGAGTTCTGCCAGCTACACTTAGATGCCTGTGGGCACACCTGCCACTGTGCACACTCCTGGTGCCCCTGGCTACATTTTCCAGCTCCCACATGCCCTCCCCCTCCAGGTGCTCACACTTCCTGGGCAGGACTGGGCTTGTGTCTACTGCCCGGGAATGTGCTTGGCTGAGGCCGGGCCCAGTGGCCTAGTCTTGGCCTGATGCCAGGGGAGACCAGGGAGCATGCAGAAGGTGCTTAGTCAGAAAGAAAGGTGGTGATCGCTCCCTAGACTTGCAGCACACAGCTCTCCTAAGGTCACAAAACAATAAAGAGTGGGAGCAAATTCAGGACTCCCGCAGGTCATCGGACTGATCTATGGTTTCTCCCCTTGTTCCCTATCTCAGAGCTTTTTTGTGTGACCCTGGAAGTTGCTGCCTCTCAGACTGACTCTTCTACCCTTCTCCCCAAGGGGCAGATAGATGGATCATGCATACAGGTTGGGGTTGGGGGACAGGGGTGTCGGTGTTCGCTGAACATTTTTGTGTGTGTGTGTGTGTGTGTGTGTGTCTGTGTGTGACGGAGTTTTGCTCTGTCACCCAGGCTGGAGTGCAGTGGCGTGATCTCGGCTCACTGCAGCCTCTGCCTCCTGGGTTCAAGCAATTCTCTGGCCTCAGCCTCCTGAGTAGCTGAGACTACAGGCACCCACCACCACACCTGGCTAATTTTTGTATTTTTTGTATCTTTTTTTTTTTTCTTTTTTTTGACGGAGTCTTGCTCTGTCTCCCAGGCTGGAGTGCAGTGGCTGGATCTCAGCTCACTGCAAGCTCCGCCTCCCAGGTTTACGCCATTCTCCTGCCTCAGCCTCCCGAGTAGCTGGGACTACAGGCGCCCGCCACCACGCCCGGCTAATTTTTTGTATTTTTTAGTAGAGATGGGGTTTCACCGTGTTAGCCAGGATGGTCTCGATCTCCTGACCTCGTGATCCGCCCGTCTCTGCCTCCCAAAGTGCTGGGATTACAGGCTTGAGCCACCGGCCCGGCTATTTTTTGTATCTTTAGTAGAGATGGGATTTCACCACATTGGCCAGGCTGGTCTCGAACTCCTGACCTCAGGTGATCCACTTGCCTCTGCCTCTGAAAGTGTTGGGATTACAGGTGTGAGCCACCGCACCCGGTATTCAAGTGTTTGCTTTCTCTGCAGGCTGCATGTTGTGCTTGGGTCAGTCCACCTTCCTTCGCTTTAACCACCCGGCTGAAGCCAAGTGGATGAAAAGCATGATTCCAGCAGGGGGCCGAGCCCCTGGGCCCCCCTACAGCCCTGTTCCTGGTAGGTACCAAAGTGGGGGGGGCGCAGGGGGCTGAGTTGGTGGTGTTCCTTCAGCAGTCCTCCTTGCTCATTTCAGCCACACTTGGAGTGTTAGGGCAAGACAATACCTAAGGTCTGGGCTCACTGCCACCGGCCATGGGCTGGTGGAGAATGCCAAGCAGTGGGACCACCGAGAGCTAACCAAGGCAGTGCTGCTTAGGTAAAACTGGGAAATTATGTGTCTTAAGGGATGGCGGGCTCTGCCAGCTTGTACCCCACTGTCCTGGAGGTTGCCACTCAGTGTCTGGAACTCTGGCCCACTTGTGTCACCACAGGGAGCCTCACCCTCTAGGGTGTCCTGAGGGGCAGAAGGAAGCATTAGGTTGAACTCCCTGTAAGCTGTGGTGGGGATCATGTCCTTGGGCCTCGCCCAACCCTCACTCTATGCCCTGCCCGCTGATGACTCAGTGGAGCAGCTGTATTTTGTGTGTGAATTATTGATCCCCAGAAAAGAATTGGTGATTGTTCTGGGGAACCAACACAGGCCCCCTCAGCCCAGCTGCATAGGGGATGGGGTACAGACCAGGAGGCTATTATTGGGTCTACCATCTCAGACTTTGCGCTGGCATTTAGATGGCTATGGGGTGACAGGTGCTGGGGCAGATGGACATGGATGTCAGGTCCACCTAGGGGGGTGGTATCAGCAGCCTAAGTGGATAGCCTGGGGACCTGAAGAAAGGTGAGTGGTCACTGGGATTACCAGTATCCATGGCAACCCCTCTGACTATATCCCACACAGTCCCCGTAATTTTGGACCCAGACTCAGTCTTGCAAAGTCTTTCTCTTCTCTTCTCCCCACCCTCAATCTTTTCCAGTCCTCTGGGGGCTCAGAAGCCTGGTTTCCCAGTCTACTCCCTAGTTAATTTTACCCTGCCCTCACCCCAGCCTTGTCATGTCACTCCCTTAGCTGTTTGGGGCAGTGGTTCCAGGGACTCCTGTATGGTTGACTAGGGCTGAGGCATGGCAAAAGCAGGCTCTTGCTGGCATGGCTTAATGGGATAATTGGAGGCACTGAGCTTCACCTCCTTGCTGGCAGCCTGGCTTCCAGGAACCAGCCATTAGCACCAGCTCCCTCCCCTACCTCTGATTGGATGAAGACACACCCTTCGCCCAGCCCTGGAGGCTTTTTCTTTTTCTTTTTTTTTTTTTTTTTAAATCCTGGGCCTCTGGTTCCTATGGTGGGAGGCCCTGACGTACTATTAGACTAGGAGCCCCTGGAACTTCTGGCCAGCTCTGCAGCAGGTGCCCATCTTCTTTTTATAATGCCCTTCTCTTTCTTTTTTTTTGTGGAGAGTGCGAGCCGCTTTGTCACCCAGTGCAGAGCTGTCAGTGGTCCGGATTCTTCAGTCTCACTGCAAGCTTGCCTTCCCGAGGTTCACGCCCATTCTTCGCTGGCCTCAGCGCTCCCGCGTAGCTGGTGGGACACAGGCGCCCCGCCACCATCGACTCGGACTATGTTTTTTGTATGTTTTAGTAGAGACGGTCGGTTTCACATGTTAGCCAGGATGTCTCGATTCTTCTGGACCTCGTTGATCCGCCCATCTCGGTCCTCCCAAAAGTGCTGGTGATTTACAGGCTTGAGCCACCGCCCCAGCCTTTTTCTTTTTTTTTGTTTTGAGATGAGTCCTACTCTGTCGCCCAGGCTAGAGTGCAGTGACCGCGATCTCGGCTCACTGAACCTCCACCTCCTGGGGTTCCAGCGATTCTCCTGCCTCAGCCTCCCCAAGTAGCTGGACTACAGGTGCGTTTCACCACACCTGGCTAATTTTTATCTTTTTAGTAGAGATGGGGTTTCTACCTATTGGCAAGGCTGGTGTCTCGAACTCCTGGACCTCAGGTGGATACATCCACTTCAGCCTCAAAGTGCTGGGATTACAGGTGTGAGCCACCATGCCTGGCCTCTTTCTTTTTTTTTTTTTTTTTTTTTTTGAGACAGTTTGCTGTGTCACCCAGGAGGCAGGAGTGATCTCAGCTCAATGCAACCTCCTGGGTTCAAGTGATTCTCGTACCTCAGCCTCCTGAGTAGTTGGAATTACAGACGTGTGCTACCATACCCAGCTAATTTTTTGTATTTTTAGTAGAGGTGGGGTTTCACCATGTTGGCCAGGCTGGTCTTGAACTCCTGTCCTCAAGTGATCTGCCCACCTCGGCCTCCCCAAGTGTTGGGATTACAGGTGTGAGCCACTGTGCCTGGCTTACCTGCCCTTCTTGAGGAGGGATATAGGATATAGATTGGAGGAGTCTAGTCTTGGGGTGAATTGACAACAATAGGCTTAGAGTGCCTATCACTGTTAACTGTTTTAAGTCACAGGCAGGAAGGCCCTGCCAATTCCCTTCCTTTATAGAAGGAGAAACTGAAGACAAGTGACTTGGCTAAGGTTGCATAGCAGGTCAGTGGCAGAGCTAGGTGGTACCAGAACCAGATCTCCTGGCTTCTTCTCCAGAGCTCTGTTAGTCTCACTGTGCTAGGAGGAAGTAGGCTAGTGCCCTGGCTCTTATGCATATGCAGCTCCCCAAAGTCAAAGACCTTTGCATTTCCCTCCAGCAGAATCAGAAAGTCTGGTAAATGGGAACCACACCCCACAGCCTGCAACACGGGGACCCTCGGCCTGTGCCAGCCACAGTTCCCTGGTGAGCTCTATTGAGAAGGACCTGCAAGAGATCATGGACTCACTGGTGCTAGAGGAGCCTGGAGCTGCTGGCAAGAAGCCTGCCACAACCTCTCCACTGTCGCCGATGGCTAATGGTGGGCGCTACCTGCTGTCTCCCCCAACCAGCCCTGGTGCCATGTCTGTGGGCTCCAGCTATGAGAACACCTCTCCAGCCTTCTCTCCACTCTCTTCACCAGCCAGCAGTGGAAGCTGTGCCAGTCACTCACCCAGTGGGCAAGAGCCAGGACCTTCTGTGCCCCCACTGGTACCTGCCCGTTCCTCCAGCTACCATCTGGCCCTGCAGCCCCCACAGTCCCGCCCAAGTGGTGCTCGCTCTGAGAGTCCTCGGCTGAGCAGGAAAGGGGGCCATGAGAGGCCTCCCAGCCCTGGCCTCCGGGGTCTGCTAACAGACAGCCCTGCAGCTACTGTGTTGGCGGAGGCCCGGAGAGCCACTGAGAGCCCCCGGCTGGGTGGGCAGCTGCCTGTGGTGGCCATCAGCCTGAGTGAATACCCAGCTTCTGGTGCTCTCAGTCAACCCACCAGCATTCCTGGCAGCCCTAAGTTCCAGCCTCCAGTCCCTGCTCCCCGAAACAAGATTGGCACACTCCAGGACCGCCCTCCCAGCCCTTTCCGTGAGCCTCCAGGCAGTGAGCGGGTGCTAACAACTAGCCCCTCACGCCAACTGGTGGGCCGAACATTTTCAGATGGGTTAGCCACCCGTACCCTGCAGCCTCCTGAGAGTCCCCGCCTGGGCCGGCGGGGCCTGGACAGTATGCGAGAACTACCCCCCTTAAGTCCATCTCTGTCCCGGCGAGCCCTCTCCCCACTGCCCACTCGGACCACCCCAGATCCCAAGCTAAGCAGGGAAGTGGCAGAGAGTCCTCGGCCCCGGCGCTGGGCAGCCCATGGGGCTTCACCAGAGGACTTCTCCCTGACGCTGGGGGCACGGGGCCGTAGGACACGGAGCCCCTCACCCACACTGGGTGAGTCTCTGGCACCCCGCAAGGGCAGCTTCAGTGGCAGGCTGAGCCCAGCCTACAGTCTGGGCTCTCTTACTGGGGCTTCACCCTGCCAAAGTCCCTGTGTCCAGAGGAAGCTCTCCAGCGGGGACTTGCGGGTGCCTGTCACAAGGGAGCGGAAAAATAGCATCACAGAGATCAGTGACAATGAGGACGACCTCCTGGAGTACCACCGGCGACAGCGCCAAGAGCGGCTCCGGGAGCAGGAGATGGAGAGGCTGGTGAGCAGGTGCCAGGGAGGCTTGCCACTGTCCATGGCAGAGTCTCTGCCAGGGCTCGAGCAGGCCAGCTGGCAGAGCGGGAGGGGCCCTCAAACAGGGCTTGGGCTTCTCAAGGTTCCCCACCTCCAGGATACACTTTAGTGATCAATATCTTATGGTTCTGGTGCCCTGAAGAAGAAATTCTTTTGAAATTTCTAAGGCTTTATTTTAAATTTGTGCTAATTTTGCATTTATTCAACATAGCATTTGTTTTAATGTATAAATTAAATTTCACATTGTTTACTCAAGCACAGTGAAGCTCTAGGAAAACATACCACAGGTATGGTAAGACCTTGAACCTCCCAGTTTGAGAAGCAAGTTGAAGTAGGTTGAGTAGGCTGAAGCTCAGAGAGGGGAATGGCTTTGTCCAAGGTCATACAGCAAGTTCTGGCAGAGCTGGAATTGGAACCCAAGTCTCCTGACTCTAAGACTTTTTTTTAGAAAAGTACCTTGTCCTTTTTTGCTTCTCTTTGGCGTCTACAAGTGGGTGGGAGCTGCTCACCCTGGCCCAGGCAGTATCATCTAGGAGTGTGGGTGGCAGGGAAGAAGGACAGAGCAGGATAGGCAACCCTGGCCTGACCGTTAGCCAGCCTCTGTAATTGTGACTGTGTGTGTCCGTGTGCATGCGTGTGGGTGTGTGCAGGGGCCGGGTGTGGCTCTAGGCAGCTGTCCTGGAGATGGCATCTGAGCTGGGTCGGGGCCAGGATTCCCCAGATAACTCAGGGAGCTTAAGGGGCTCTGGCTGGTGTGTACACAGTCGAGCCCATGTACAGAAGAATGGATTCTGCCCTCTGTCCTTGCAAGCAGAACAGGGTTATTTGGGAGGTGAGCAGGAACCCTGGGACTGGTTTGAGGAGGAGAATCAGAACTGATGAGAACCAGAACTGAAGCATCTGGAGATGCTTTTGGAAGAGGTTGGGACAGTTTTGGATGAGGGTATAGGATTGTGTGTTTGTGTTGGATGGGGGTGAGATGAGGCAGATTCCGTCTTTTCCTTTGCTGCATCTTTTTTTGAGACGGAGTCTCGCTCTGTCACCCAGGCTGGAGTGCAGTGGCCAGATCTCAGCTCACTGCAAGCTCCGCCTCCCGGGTTTACGCCATTCTCCTGCCTCAGCCTCCTGAGTAGCTGGGACTACAGGCGCCCGCCACCACGCCTGGCTAGTCTTTTTGTATTTTTTTAGTAGAGACGGGGTTTCACCGTGTTGGCCAGGATGGTCTCGATCTCCTGACCTCGTGATCCGCCCGTCTCGGCCTCCCAAAGTGCTGGGATTACAGGCTTGAGCCACCGCGCCCGGCCTGCTGCATTGCTCTTCACTGTTTTTGCATTGGTCTAGATGGGAATGCATGGCCATTCTAAGCTGGGGTCTCATCCTGGAGAGGGGGCAGTAAGCCTGGCACAGGCAGAGTGGCAGGCACAGTCTCCCCCAACTCCATCAGTCTCCCCAACCCTATTCCCACACATAAGCACACATCTTACCACTAGTCCTGACCTGCCTCACCTGCCACTTTAAGTCTTGGAGGCTGCCCGCCCTGCCCCTCCCACCGCAACCAGGCTGCTTATCTGGGTCCTGGGGCAGGGGCGGAGGCACTGGCCCAGCCTCCCAAGTGCCGAGGCTCTGTTCTTTTTTTTTTTTTTTGCCATGGAACTGGGCAAGCAACAGGAGGGAAGCTGGGTAAGTGTATGAGAACGCCTCTCCAGCCTTCTCTCCACTTCCTGCGGTTTGGGTCATGGCCAAACTGTAAGTGGTGAGAGACACTTGAGGAGATCTAGGGACCCTAGAGAGCCATGGGAGCCTCACAAGCCAGGCTTCAGGCCTATAGATAGGCCTGCAGGAGAAGGCGACAAAGACCAGGAATGCGACTGTATCATCCCTCCTTTACTTCCTAGGCCCCTGAGAGGTGACTGTATCTGGGTGGGTGTGTATGTGGAGAGGGGTGGATGAAGTGGTAGGGCCATGGGAGTACTCACTCATGGGCCTGGGCATTCAAGGACTGGTAGCAGCCCATCCTGCTGATAAACAGCCAAGGGCTGCCTGAAGGTAACTTGGAGCTGAGGTGGGGACAGAGGGCCATGTCCTTGGTTTACCTCTTCTCCATGTGTGTCTGTGGTTGGGTGTCTGGTCCCTGTGGGCTTGTGGGTCTGTTTTCCAGCCCTGTCTGTCTGCATACGTGCCCACCTGTCTGTATGCTAGACTGTGTTTATCTGTGAGTGTGCATCAGTGTGCATTTGTGCATGTCAGGGCTGGTGTCTTTGTACCTGCTTATTAATGCAAGTCCAGGGCACATATTGTGTCCTTGTGTGCCTGTGCATCAATGCTGGTGTGTCAGTGTGTGTCCTCGTGTCTGTAGTTCTGTGTGTACCTGCGTTAGGACGAGCACCCGAGTTTATCTGTGTCTCATTGTGGTCTGTAGTCTACTTAACAGTATGTTTCCGTATGTGTTTGGTGTGTTCCTTTGTGTCCGGTGTGTTCCTTTGTGTCCATGAGGAAGCCCTGTCCTGGGGTAGATTGAAAAAAGAAAGGAACAGGAAGACGGAAGGGGCTGCCCCAGAAGTGGGCAGGAAGAACCAGGCTGTTGTGCCATGTGGACAGGTGGCACAACAGCCTGGTTCTTCCTGCCCACTTCTGGGGCACCCTATTTCCCTCTGCCTCCCCCAGGTCTTGGAGTCAGGCATCTCCTGACTTGACACTGATGACCTAGCCACCAGTAACCTTGCTCTCCCTCCTGACAGGATACTGAACCTGGCGCTATCCCCACCAGGGCTCAGCTTCCTCCCCTTCATGTCCTGCTCTGTCCATCCTCCCCAGGAACGCCAGCGCCTGGAGACCATCCTGAACCTGTGTGCCGAATACAGCCGGGCTGATGGGGGATCTGAGGCCGGGGAGCTCCCCAGCATTGGGGAGGCCACCGTAGCATTGGCACTGGCAGGCCGGAGGCCCTCACGAGGCCTTGCAGGGGCCTCTGGGCGGAGCAGCGAGGAGCCTGGAATTGCCACCCAACGCCTGTGGGAGAGTATGGAGCGCTCAGATGAGGAAAATCTCAAGGAGGAGTGCAGCAGCACTGAGAGCACCCAGCAGGAGGTGAGATGGAGGGGTAGGCAAGACAAAGAGGCTGAGGTTGGACCTGCTGGGGGCAGAAGAGGCTAGTGTATTGAATGCCAAGGTCCAGTGAGGAGAAGGATCAAGTTTGGGAAGAGATTCGAGAGCAGAGGTGCAGAAATGAGACAAGGAAGAGAAGGGAGGTGTTGATGAGCTTCCCAAGCTATAAATATGCTTTATGACCTGCCTTTCCATGGGGCTCCACCCAGGCCTGGCACTCAGTGGTAAATCTTTATTATCTTCAGCAGAGCCCTTATTGCTCCCCTCAAAGGTAGGGGTGGGGGGGGGCAGGGAATTAGCCTCCTGTCTCAGTCCAGCTATTCCTCAGCAAGTGCGTGGAGGAACAGGTGATCCATTTTCTTGGTCTGACTCCAAAAGGCTCTAGGCTTCCTCAGTTGATAGCTTCCCTCCCCTCCAGCACGAAGACACACCTAGCACCAAGCTCCAGGGAGAGGTGCTAGCCCTGGAAGAGGAGCGGGCTCAGGTGCTGGGGCGCGTGGAGCAGCTCAAGGTCCGTGTGAAGGAGCTAGAGCAGCAGCTGCAGGAGTCAGCCCGAGAGGTGAGCCATGAAGGCCCTAGCTAGACTCTTCCCTAGGCCAACTGAAGGCCCCAGAGAGGGGCCACAGTCATCTGCTTTGATGGGGACCCTGGTGTCTGCCCCCAGGCCGAAATGGAGCGAGCACTGCTGCAGGGAGAGAGGGAGGCAGAGCGGGCACTGCTGCAGAAGGAGCAGAAGGCAGTGGATCAACTGCAGGAGAAGCTGGTGGCCTTGGAGACAGGCATCCAGAAGGAGAGGGACAAGGTAACCCATACCTGGCCCGGCTTAGTGCTGGGCACCAGTGGCCTGGGAGAGGAGAAACGTCTTCTCTGGGGCCCTGCACCCCTCACCTCATCATCCATTCTGCAGTACAAGTGGTCTCTGTGGCCTTCCAGGGACAGGGTGACTTGTCCTCCTCTGTGGAAGGTACCAGCTTGGAGGGCACTGCCAGGGGCTGGGCTGGTGTCTGGGGTCTCCTCTGTTTGGGTCTGTGTGCTACCTCTGGGTGCCTGCCATCCTAGGCCCTTTAAGGCCCTTCTAGGAAGTGCCAAAGCCCCTTCTTGGGCAGTGAGCACAGCCCGAGGGACTGACACTGGGGAGTGATTCAAGTTTGGGTCCCACTATCTGGAGAACATCTCCCTCCAAGCATGCCACAAGTGCTTACATTGTGATCTTTGAGAGATGACCCTCGGGCCTCTGCTTCCCTTGAGCCTTCAGGATCTGCAGCCTCCTGTCCCAGGTGACCTTAGCTCCTGCCCCTGCCCCTTTCAGATTTCGTGCCAGCCTGCAGGGGCCACTCCCGGATGGCCAACACCGTGCCAAAAGCTCTGAAGTGGAGAGGGGTCATCTATTTCTGGATCTGACAGTATTTTTCCAATAATTTAATTTTCCTTCTGGATTTTTTGAGTTTCTTCCTCTTGCCCTCAATTTTGAGGATCTTAAAAATTCTTTGACCCGTTGGGTTTTTTTTGTTTTTTTTGGAGCTTTGGCTCTGGCCCCCAAAACCACACTCCCAAATTCTGTGCCCAATTAACTTCATGCTTGCCAACTAGGCCTACACTAACGCCCCTTCTAATCACTGACCTGGGCTTTCCGCATGCCCCTAACTGCCAGTGCCACCCAGGTAGGGCTGAGCCATGCCCGCTTTTGCACTAACTCAATGGGTGCCTCCGTGCCCCTGGCCTCTCCCCTCTAATGCTGCCTCCTTCTTTTCTTGGTGTGGGACCCCAGAGTTTTGATATGAAAGGAATTGGCAGGAGGACTAGTAGCTCAACTTTACTCAAGGGAGCATTGGCAGGAGGGGTATAAGGGTGGGGGAAATGCTTGGCTGTGGAGCTGCTCAGACTGAAGTTCTTCCCATTGGAAATGCCTAGGCTGCTGTCTTAGGCTACTGTCTGAGGACAGCATGAGATAACTCAAGGAAGCTTCCTGGCAGCTTCCTGTATAGCAGACCAGGCTGTCTTCCATCTATTCCCTTGCCTGCCTTCTGGAGCCAAGGAGCAAGGAGGCCCAGTTGTGGGCATGGTCTTGGAGGGCTTGAACAGGACCTCTCTGCCAACACAGTGGCTACCCTTCCTAGCTTTCCCCTGGGGCTTCCTAAATTCAGATACCCATCAGAGGTTGGTAATGGGTAGCCCCTACTCTTCCCTTCACCCCGAGCCACCTATAACACAGGGTATTTTACAGCCTGAGTCCAAGGCTGAGGAAGCACCTAAACCTCAGCAACTGGCCTGATCAGGTCCTCCTCTCTGGGGATGGGTAGATGAGTTGGGTAGAGGGGTGGGAGTGACTGGGTTCAGCACAGGGCCTCACTCCCAGGGATAAAGCTCAGCATTTCAGAAGGAACCTGCCTAATCTCGTTTCCCGCTGACCTGGAGTGTTTTGGAGGCCTGGATTTCACTTTCTCTGTGGGGAAGAAAGAAGTTATTTGAGGCTGTGGTAGTGACGGTGGTGGTGGTGATGGTGGTAGTGATGGCAGTGGTGTGGAGGGTTCACTCGGCTTCCCTCCCCTGCCCCCAGCCCATGGCTCCACTCTGACTTTGGAATCAGTAATCACAGTTTCTCCTCTGCCTGTCCTTTGAGGGGTGACTCACCAAACCCTCCCCTCATCCCCCTTCCCGCCCTCAGAGGTGTCATCTCACCCCAGACAGAACAGTCCACCCCCTCTGTACCCACTCCTGGGACTCTTACTACCATGACAACGGCCCGAACTAATTGCAACCCCTATCCCTGAAGTTCAGCCTGCAGGGCCAACACCCCACCCTGACCCTGGGCAGGAGGGGAGGGAGGCCAAGGGTGTTGGGCTGGGGTCCCCTCTGCCACACTGCTTTAACATCCTCAGCTCCTGATTCACGCCCAACCCTGGATTTAACCTTCACCATCACTTTTTACCCTGGGTTAAATTTTGGTCTCTGGGCTGTGGTAGAAGGGGAGGGATGAGAACTGGAGGCTCCGATTCTGTGATGCGGAACCAGCCTTGACTGGTTTGGAGAGAAAACAGAGGGCCTTTTCTCAGGACCTACCCAACAATTTCAGTTTAAGGGACCCCAGGAGACCAAAATCTGTGCCCTGCCCCCACACCTCTGCCTGTGTTACCCCACCCCCTGCACCTCTGACTGCTGTGTTACCCTTCAGCTCCTGGCCTCGGGCCCTCTGCCTCTTCACCTCTTTCCCTCCTCACTTTCCCTTTCTACTCTTTTCTTCTCCTCACCTGGTTATTCTCCTCTTTGATTCCAGCCTTTTTTCTTCTCTCAACCCCCATTGCCGACCCCCATTCTGTCCCGCCCTGGCCTCCCTCCCGCGCTCCCCTCCCGCCGCTGCCGGGCCGGAGTTGAGGAGTGTGTGTTCTGTTTCTCCCCTGTGCCCCGCCCTCTCCCTCGCCCTCCCGCCGACCAGGAGAGGGCGGAGCTGGCCGCGGGACGGAGGCACCTGGAGGCCCGCCAGGCGCTCTACGCCGAGCTCCAGACGCAGCTCGATAACTGCCCCGAGTCAGTGCGGGAACAGTTACAGGAGCAGCTGAGAAGGGTCAGTTCCACCGCCCCCCCTCCCCCGGCCCCCGCGGGCCACGCCCCAGAAGGAAGAGAGGAGAGCGGTGGGACGGGACCACCCGGCCCCTGCAGTACCTGCCGGACACCAGGGTCGGTGCTGTGGCTTGGAGGGAACCGGGAAGGTTGGGGGGTCAGCGCTCCAGGCCATGATGCCCGCGAAAGGGCAAGGCCAAGTACAGCGGGAGCTGGGTGAAGGCAGGTTTCCTACCCAATTTCCCCGGGTCCAGCCCCATACAACGCATGCCCCTGTGGCCTGGCCTTCCAGGTGCAGAGTGGCATTGCAAGCACCACCCAACCCCCTTTGTCACTGTCGTTGAAGGAGGCAGAGGCCCTGGAGACTGAGACAAAGCTCTTTGAGGACTTGGAGTTCCAGCAGTTGGAGCGGGAGAGCCGCGTGGAGGAGGAGCGTGAGCTGGCCGGTCAGGGGCTGCTCCGGAGCAAGGCTGAGCTGCTCCGCAGCATCACCAAGAGGAAGGTGTGCCCCACCCCGTTCCCTGCTGCGTGCTGTTGGAGGCCTGTGACCTGGGTTTGAATCCCAACGACTTCACAAAAGTTAACTTCGCCTGTTGTGCCTGGGTTTCCTTGTCTGTAAAATGAGAATTATAACAGGTTGTTATGAGAATTAAACAAGATGTAAAGACAGAATAAGATGTGATTGTAGTAAGCACTCGGTGAAGAATAGCTATTATTATTAAGCTCTGACTCCCCTCGGTCTTCCAGTGGAAAGTGGATTCTGCTCCCATTCAGACTTGGCACTGGCCTGTCAGGAAGGTGAAAGATGGAGGAGGAGGAGGTTTGCCCTGTGCGTACAGAGCTCTTGTCTGGTGGAAGTGCTGGGACACACAGAAAGATTTGAGATCTGGATATTAGAGCCAGCTAGGGGCCCTAGAAAGGGCATTCATTTGGGTTCCAGCCATGGCTCTGTCCTGCCTTGGCCGAGCTGTAAAACAAGGGTTATTGCGTATTGTGGCCTGGTTGGCTCTGACACGCTAGCTAGATACTGTGATTGTCTGCTCCTGATCTCAGCCAGACCGCAGGATGGTGGCGCAGGTGCCTGTGTGTGAGGTTGGGGAGTAAAGCTGGGAGGAGGTATGTGTTAGTAAGGGTTGGGAAGAGGTGAGAGAGGGACTGGAGAGGATGGCTCAAGCAGCTTCCACCCTTATGGCTGAAGCTTGTGGCCAGGCATATGCACACATGCATGTACATTATGCCTGACTGGAGTTAGTGTGGAGGAAGTGAGCATGGTGAGATTGGGGAGGGGTGTCTAAAATTGGCGACTTAGAAGATTTGCTGGCTAGCCTGGGGTTGGTGGTAAGTGGGGAGCTGCTGGATTTTCCTTGAGTCCAGATCCCATGCTTCTCTCCCTGAGCTGCTGTCTTACAAATGCACTGACTGATGAATGGAAGGAAGAAAATTGACACACCTAAGCACATGAGTGTGTGTCAGGCACCTTGCTGGGAACCTTCCTTGGATTACCTCATGCTGTCCTTAGGATGGTATCACAAGAGAAGTGCTATTATCCCCATTTTATAGACAAGGAAACTAGGAGTAGGAGAAGCTACACATTTTGCCCAAAGCCTCCCATAATATAAGCTTCAGAGTCAGAATTGGAACCCAGGCCTGTTGGCCCAAATCCCATGTTCCTTCTACTGTACTGCACTGAGGCTAGGGGTGGGCACTTCTCTAGCCTCTTCCTCCTTCTTCCTGGAGGTAGGGAGCTGTAGATCAGCTAATCTCATCCCTTTGGGATTCTGGTGAGTATAAGCTCCAGGAAGTTTGGGAGGGCTTGGCAGTAGTGGATTCCTCTTCCCACACCCACTCTGGCTCCTGGGAAACCGGAGCTCAACCCCTGGGACCTGGGGTATCACATTCTTCCCCATGCTTCTCCTTAGGAACCTTATCCAGCTTTCATTCTCAGACCCTAGTGTCCCACCCTAGGCTCTGTCTACCCTGGTGCCCTGTGCTCCCCTGCCCTTTCCACTCTGATTCAGAGTGGCTCAGAGTACTGGCCTGGGAGTTCAATAGATGATTCTAGTCCTTGCTCTACCACTTAGCTGGCTAAGAGATCTTAGCTTCTAAATATGTTGGTGTTCTCACCTATAAAATGGATATAAATGCAGCTGCCTCATAAGGGAGCTTATTAAATGACATAACAAATGCAAGACATTTAGCAGAGTTCCTGGCTCCTAATGGGTTCTTAGTAGATGGCAGCTCTTGCAGTGAGGATTACTGCCTAGCCTACTTTGTTGTTGTTGATTTTGAGACAGAGTCTTGCTGTTGTCACCCAGGCCAGAGTGCAATGGTATGATCTCAGCTTACTGCAACCTCCACCTCCCGGGTTCAAGCGATTCTCCTGCCTCAGCCTCTCAAGTAGCCAGGATTACAGGTGCCCCCCACCACACCTGGCTAATTTTTGTATTTTTGGTAGAGATGGGATTTCACCATGTTGGCCAGGCTGGTCTCAAAACTCCTAACCTCAGGTGATCCAGCCTCCTCAGCCTCCCAAAGTGCTAAGATGACAGGCGTGAGCCACCACACCCGGCCAGCCTACTTTGGTCTTCTTTTGGACTGACCCCAGATTTAGGACATCATCCTTCTTTAACTCTTCCTTTCCCATGATTTGCTCCTAAGGGTGGTGGTTTAAGACTGCCTTCTTCAGGAAGCCCTCCTGGGATTAACCCAGCCCATTTTTCCTATCCCTCATCCTTCCCCCTTATTATCTTTTCATTTCCTTTTAGCACATGATTGTTGAGCCAGGTACTGTTCTAAAAGCCCTATTGAGGGTATAAAGACAGAAAAGACAATGTGGATCTTATGTTTGGGGCAGGGTGGTGGTAGTGGTAACAGATATATTCACAAATAACAATAATAGAGGCAGATGGTGATACAGAAGAATGTGAGCACAGAGGAAGGAGCAAAGAAATTGAGTGGCAATCAAGGGAGGCTTTGGAGAGGAGGTGGCATTTGGTCTAATCTTAGATGATAAGTAAGCTCTTGATAGGTAGAGAAGATTGGGACAGCTCTTCTGGCCTAAGGAAGTGACATAAGAAAGGCCTGAGAGTTTACAGCTACACCGCTGAGTGTACAGTGTGGCTGAGCTGAGAGGACATGGAGGCGGTAGGAGGGAGGGGAGCTGCAAAGGGTTTGGGAGCCCCGAATGCCTGGTAAGGAGTCTGTGCTTTATTCTGTGTGTAATGAGGAGCCACTGAAAGATTTTGAGGAGTGGCATGATCTGACCTTATTTGTGGATTTTTAAAAAATTATTCAAGTAATATTTCTTTTTAGAAAGTAATTTTTCTTTTTAGAAAGATTAGAAAATTCAGATAAGCAAACAAACCTCAAAGTCATCTTAGGAAGACATTTGTGACAGTGTGGAGTGAATCAGGAAGTTGAGAGAGTGGAAGCAGAGGCTGGTGAGAAGGTCCAGACCAGGGAAGCAGAGGGCCTGGATTTGAGTGGTGGCAAGTGGGGTTGGGACAGGGAGAATGAGGCAGATGGAGTGTCTCTAGGCTTTGGGACCCATTGGTTGTGGGGTAAGGGAAGGGAGGTTAGAGGATCTGAGTGGTGTGCCTAATGGCACAGGGGTCGTTGGTCTAGGGAGGGAGGAAGGCCTGAGGGAAGGAGCCCACATGGCAGCCTGTGTTTTCTTAGGGTGAGTTGAGGCCAAGCAGAAGAGCTGGTTGATCCCCTTCACCTGAGCCTTGAGTCTCTGGGCAGGAGAGCCAGCTAGTTCTCACCTTGAGCTCAGCCCTGTCTCCCCAGGGCCTGATCAACCACCCCATCTCCTTTAGGAGCGCCTGGCCGTCCTGGACAGTCAGGCTGGGCAGATCCGGGCTCAGGCCGTGCAAGAGTCAGAACGCCTGGCCCGGGACAAGAATGCCTCCTTACAGCTGCTGCAAAAGGTAGGGTCCCTCAGGTTGGGCTGGGGGATTTTGAGTAGGGTAAATGGGAGGGGAGTGCAGAAGGGCTGGGGTGCAAACGTGCTGGGGTGGAGCACAGGGCTCCTGTCACACAGTCTCCTGGCTCCCACTCCTTTTTGACTCTCTGCCATTCTGGGCTTGCAGGAGAAGGAGAAACTGACTGTGCTGGAAAGGAGATACCACTCACTCACGGGGGGCAGGCCTTTCCCGAAGACTACATCGACCCTCAAAGAGGTATCATGATTGGGTTAGCCCCAGCTTCAGGCCCAGGGGGTGTCCTGGGAGGCTCTGAGTAACACACAGCACTTTCACCCCAGTGGCTGAGGTTGTATGGGGGCATCTCCCTGAATGGGAGAGATTTGAGGAGGAATGGCCCCAAGCTCTGGGATTTGATCTTCCATGGCCACCAGCTGCCTCTGTTTAGTTGCCTTTGGAGTTCCCAGGAGCCCACTGATTTCCCTGTTTTTGGTGGCTGAATATATGTGGGGGGACTCAGGGGCCTGGGTTGGGTGGGTAGACAGCTCAGAGGCTTAGTAGGGGCTGGGCTGGATGGACTCACCTTGAAGGGGAGCATGTGGATATAGGAGTGCTGATCCTGGGGCTCCTGGGCTTCAGTCCTGAGTTAGGCGTTTGTCTCAGAAGAGGATATTGAGGCCCCTTAAGTGGTTCTTCCCAAGTCTGTATGTCTGGTGTGTGAGTTCCAAATAGAACATATCTGGTTTACCAACTTCGTTCCCTCCCTCCCTGCCTCACTACACAAACAATTTAGGCCTGGGGTGGGGAACTGGGCCAAGTGTGAGGGATGCAGCCCCTCACCATGTCCCCTTTCTGTAGGCCGAGCTGCTCATCTCCGAGTCCTCAGAGATGGGGCTGGGGACTAAGGCTCTGGGCCTTTTCCCAGGGTCTTCTCAGGCTGGGGCCTCCTCTGTCTCTTTAACCCCACCTGCTTCCACTCTTCTCTGCCCCAAAGCACAAGAGGTAATCACAGCTAACTGCGTGCTCTGCTTTGCCCACTGCCTGCCTGCCTGCCCGCTGAGCCCCTGCCTACAGCTCCTCCCAGGGCTTAGCTGAAGGGCATGTGGTGATAGTTTCTTGGCTGGCCAGAGTTTGGGAGACTGTGTGTGAGTGTGCCATGCCGCCATTCCATAGAGTGCCTGGGCAGCCCATTGAATTGCATATTAATTTGCCTATATTCTGCTTGCCATTCATCAGTTCTCACAACATGCTGGACCCTCTGGCTCATTTTTCTTTTCCATGACCCCAGAAGACAACCTGGTTCTAGAGCTAGGCCTGGGTGGGCCTTGGGTAGGGCAGGCTTATGATCCTGCGCTTTGATTCAGCATGCATTGTGGAAGTCTACCATGCTCCTAGCACCCAGATAAGCTCAGTTTCTAAGGACAGGTGATGAATACGACAGTCCCTGTTCTGCCAACCCACAGTTGAATGTGTTGGCATCTTTCCAAGGACTCACCTTGGGCAGTAGGCCCATTTTTCTGCTAGGCTTTTAGCTGTTCCTTGCTAAGGCCTCTTTCTCACAGCCCATCTTGCTCAGGCCCTGGTGATGTCTCTACCTTTCCCCACCTGCTTCTAGCTCCTGCCCGGGCTGATGGGGTGTGAGGGGACCCTGGGGAATGGTGTGACTGGTGCCCAATGCTGCATGTGTGTGCTCCACTGGGGACTGCCAGGTTGTTGGGGATGGGGGTTCTCTGGGAGCTGGGTTCTGATCCTCAGTGTACTCTTAGAAGGCCTTCTGTGGGCTTTTTTGCCTGTCCCCAGCCCAGGGCGAATTCAGGTATGGGCCTTCAGGGTCTGCTTGGGGAAGGACTGGATGCCAAGGTGGCTCCAAGAGTGGAGGGGCAGGAGGAGCCTTCAGACTGTTGGTTCTGCTGCCCTTTTCTGGTCTCTGTCACTCCTTGCAGCCATCTACGGGCATAGCAGGCACCCTACCCCTGCCTTGGAGTTTGTATTGACCTGGAGTGATGGCCCTGTGGCCTGGCATGGAGTTTGGGGTGTTGGGCACCTTGTTGAACCCTGTTAACCCCTTTCTTTGCCCACCTCTACCCCTTCCACTGGGCACCCCAGGAATATGTGACCCTGGCAGAAGTTTTCCAGCTGTGTTCCCGCTTGGACCCCTATGCTTCTGCCACCCCCCCCAGTGTGCTCGCCCAGCCCTTGCCTGACAGTGAGGTACCAGCCACTGAGGGTGCCCACCAATGCCCAAGGACCTCTTTATGGATGGCCTAGATTCCCCCTTGGGCCTGGGTGGAGCTGGGGGGACAGAAGGATCTGTGTTCGACAGAGAGGGAGAAGGGCAGCCTGTATAAGGGGAGGTTGGGAGTGGTTTCTTTTCTTCCCTGGGGCCTTGGGAGCTTTCTTCAGCTCCTATGGCCTGGGAAGGAGCAGGCCTTCTGCTCTAGGATGAGGGCATCGAGTTGAGAGGACTCTGGTTTTCCTAGGCTGCAGGCTCTGTACTTCCTGTCCTTTCCCTCTCTTCCCCTGTGGGTAGGGCCATCTTATGTATTCTAGCTCCATTAACCTCTTATATTCCCTCCTGCATCTGGCCTTGCCCCAAGTACGTGATGCTTGAGCAGCTAAAGGTGATGCGGGACACCTCGCCCATGCCCCCAGCCCCTGTGCCAGGCCTTTCTCCCTGGGCCTCCGCCTCCCGGGACCTGGTTCCCACCACCTGCCTTCCTCCCATGCCGCCCTCCTCCTCGTTTGCTTCCATCACGCCTTCACCCAAGGTTGGTGGTCTGTGAGTTCTTGCTACCCCCACCCACGACTGGTGTGCTCCGTGTGTGTTTTGCTCCTGCTCACCTGGCCTGCTGGCTCTGGGCCAGCCCAAGGGGAGTGCCCAGTGCCTGCAGGCTCTGTCTGGTGGCTGGTTTCATGGCTGGTGTAGCACATGTCTGTGGTCTGGAAGTTGTACCCTGACTGTTTCTCTTTGCCCTTAGTACATTCAGGGCAACTGTTGTCTCACTGTTTTTCTCTTCTTTTTCTTGATGCTCTCCTTTCTCCCTTCCTTCCTCCCCTTCTTCCTTCACCTTCCTGTCCATTTCCCTGATATGGCCTTCCTTTAACCTTTCCCCTCCTTCTTCCTCTTCTTTCTTCTTTCTCCCTTCTCCTGCCTTTTCCTTTCCCTTTATTTCCTGGCCTTTCCTCTCCATCCTTCCCCTCCTGTCCCCTTTTCCCCTCCCCATTCCCACCTCCAGATGGAGAAGCTGCTGCTCCCTGCTGTAGACTTAGAGCAGTGGTACCAGGAGCTGATGGCCGGGCTGGGGACTGGCCCCACTGCAGCCTCCCCTCACTCTTCTCCCCCGCCTCTGCCCGCCAAAGCTTCCCGTCAGCTGCAGGTAACCCCTCCTTCACTGCCCATCCTCCCCAGCCTTTGCACCTGTCCACTCTGATACTTCCTGCCAATCCATCAGCCACACAGTACCACCTTGAGTGGAGGTGTCAGCCCAGTCAGGGCAATGAGGGCACCTCTGGGCCCTGAGAAGGTCACTCCTTGGGCAGCTATCCTAGCATTTGGGCAACCAGAGGGCCAGCCTCCATAGTCTAAAACTGTCTGATTGAGTGTCTGGTGGAAGGGGATTCTGGAGCTGTGGTCAGGTTGGGATCTGTTCAGTGCCCTGTGCTGAGCTAGGCTGTGGGTCTGGCCTATGCTTGGCAGCTCCCAACACCCAGAGCTTCTCACCCAGTCTGGGGGCCTGACAGGCTCTTGGGCCTGTGGCAACTGGAACTAGTGTGTCCTGGGAGAACTGCTGTTCTCCTGGTTTCTCTGCTTATTCTCCTGGTTTCTCCAGCAGTGACACTTGGAAGCAGAAAACAAGGGGCAAAGACTCTGAAGTGAGAGCCCAAGCCTCCTCAGAGTTGCCATGGAGGGCGTGGGCCTACCTGAACCTGCAGCAAGCAACTGACCATGGGGTGGGAAAGGGAGCTGGGCTAGTCTTCTCCTTAGGTTTCCTCCACTGACCTGCTGCAGTGCCTGACATTGACCATTTAAGATCATCCGTTGAGTGAAGGCACTGCATCTGTAAGACTGTGACCTCAGCTAAAATTTCATGTTTCCTTGGGGAGGAGTTTGATCATATAAGACTTCTACTGTGTACCCAGCTGGTTAGAGACTTTAACATGTTTTGATTCTCTTAATCATCACCATAGGCCTTTGAGGTAGATGAAGTTAACTCATTTTATAGGTGAAACACTGGAGCATGGAGAAGATAAGTAATCTTTCCAAGGCCACACAGCTAAGAAGTAGCAGAGCTTATGCCAAGTCAGGGTTTGTGACGCTAAGGGCCATATTTACCACATGCTAGTGCTGTAGGGGAGCTTGGCCATTATTTAGTCTAGTCCTACCCCCTTCTTTTGCAGAGAAGGAAGCCAAGGCCCAGAGTAGGGAGGTGTGTGACCGAGCTAGGACCAGAGGGAACCCAGTTTCTAGTTGGTCTCCTGCACAACCCTGCCTGACTGACATTAAATCCTTGCGTGGGTCTGTTTACAGGTCTTTTCTTAGACCCAGGGTTGGGCTAGGGATTGGCCCAGGGAGGAACAGCATGGAAAGGAGAATTGGCAGCTGCCAATAGCATCTGGCCATTGGGCTGGCTCAGGAGGCTTGTTGTCAGAACCAGAAGGCCTGAGGCCTAGTGCCAGAGTAATACGTCAGATCACAGCCAGACTAGGTGACATGGGGGAGGTGGCCAATGGGGGAGCCAGAAGTCACTGGGCACTATCTTTTCTTTCCAGGTTTACCGCTCCAAGATGGATGGCGAGGCCACTAGCCCCCTTCCCCGGACCCGCAGCGGCCCCCTCCCCTCCTCCTCTGGCTCTTCCTCCTCCTCCTCCCAGCTCAGCGTGGCTACCCTGGGGCGTAGCCCCTCCCCAAAGGTCTGAGGACAGTGGGTGGGGCTGCACATGTGGCAGGGGATGGGGACTGCCATGCTGGGGAGAGGCCAAGACCACCCATGAAAGCCTTGGGAATGGGGGTGAGGGCCTTCTGAGCCCAGGTCCAAACTCTCCATTCCTCTGCAGAGCGCTCTACTCACCCAGAATGGCACGGGCAGCCTTCCTCGCAACCTGGCAGCCACGCTGCAGGACATCGAGACCAAGCGCCAACTAGCTCTGCAACAGAAGGGTGAGTGACTGCCCCGCCAGCCCACCTGCTCTTCTGAGGGGACCCTGGATAGTTGCCATGCTTCCTCTATGTTCATACCTTTCACAGGATGTTTTTCTTTTCATTGGGATCTAGGCCAGAGCAGAAAGGATTTAGAGGAGTGGGTACCTAAAGAAGAGCTTCCTGGATATTTATCTAAAGCCTTCAGGGCCGGAGACTAAGGGCCTAGGGGACTGTGACATCTTTCCTAGAGAGCCTAGCCAATAAGGGAACTGCTTGTTGACCTGAGTCGGGTTAGACATTGCCCTCTCTGGAGGCAGGGGATGGATTTGATTACTTCTAGAAATGGTTGCCTGAGATATTGGCTCTGGGGACCCAGGAGTCCTTGTTGCTTGTGTGCAATTTGGTTGTTTTGAAAGCCTATGTCTGTGCCTCTCTCTCCTCTTACCCGCTCTGTGTCTCTACCGTACCCTCTGCCCGGGGTCCCCCACGCCAGTCGAGTCGCTTCCCGCCGAGCCCCTCCCAACCGACGACCCAGCAGGTAGAACGTTGGTCACAGAGGGCATTGCTTTGGCCAGGCAGCCCCTGCCCTGGCATCAGCATGATGTGTCCTGCCCAGGTCCCCACTGCCTGCAGGCAGGGTCCCAGGCTGAGCTGGGTTGGGGTGTCTGCTGGCCTCACCCCTCCAGCTGGCCTCTCTTCTGCCCTCAGCTGTGCTCTACCGTGTCTCCCCTGCCTTCTTTCCCGCGTTTGTTGCTTTTGCTTCTGCATCGCAGGGGGGTCTGCATTGGCATTCTGGGTGCTCATGGGGTTTCCGCCATCTCTTCTTTCTCCCTTCTCCAGCAGGCAGGGTGGGTGCATGCATCCTGCCTAGACCTACTTAGGCCTTGGTTGTGAGCTGGAGCCAGCTGGCTGTCATGCTGCCTGGGCACTATTTGGGTAGGTTTGGTGTCCTATGTGGACTCAGGATGCGAAAGAGCACTGAAGCCAGACTCTGCATCTGTGGCCGGTTGTGCAGGCGACTGAAGCATTGGCAGAGCAGCCAGGCCTGGAGCTGCAGGGGCCTTAGGGAAGCTGCGGGGAGAGGGGGCTGCTCTGTGTTAACCTCTCCCTGCTTGCCCCTCCTTCTGTGTGTGGTGCTGCCACTGGCCTGCTCCTTAGCTGGGTGGGGAGCCCACTGTGACTCCCATCTGTCTCTCCTGCAGGACAACAGGTGATTGAAGAGCAACGGCGGCGACTGGCTGAGCTGAAGCAGAAAGCGGCAGCTGAGGCACAGTGCCAGTGGGATGCCCTGCACGGGGCAGCCCCCTTCCCAGCGGGCCCCTCGGGCTTCCCCACTCTCATGCACCACTCTATCCTACACCACCTGCCTGCGGGGCGGGAGCGTGGGGAGGAGGGTGAGCACGCCTACGATACACTGAGTCTGGAGAGCTCTGACAGCATGGAGACCAGCATCTCCACTGGGGGCAACTCGGCCTGCTCCCCTGACAACATGTCCAGGTACCCCCCACGCCTGGGCCCACAGCCTCCTTCAGCCACCGCCTCAGCTCCTTGATGCACTTCCTCTTCCCCTTCTCTCCCCAGTGCGAGTGGTCTGGACATGGGGAAGATCGAGGAGATGGAGAAGATGCTGAAAGAGGCTCACGCAGAGAAGAACCGGCTCATGGAGTCGAGGGTGAGTCTGACCTGGATCAGGGAGGCAGAAGGTGATGGGGCACAGAGCTGCCTGCTGCCTGTCAAGGGCCTCAAGCTCCACCTCAAGCCCTTCCACCCATATTAGCCTTGCCACATTCCCTTGGGGTAGAAAATGTTTTAAAAGGTTGTATTCCTCAAACGGGTTTAGGGAACCTTGGTGAGATTACAACTTCATGGCTCTTAGGAACAGAGAAGGCAGCACAGTAACCGTTCTCCAACCAATAATTTCTTGTATGGAAACTTCCAGTTTTTGCATGTTTACTTCTGTAGACTTTTTGGCAACTACAGGAATTTTGATTCCTGTCTACCTGCATGGCAGGCCATTCCTCTTGGGACTGGTTAGGAAAGGCAGGAACTGTGGGTGAAGTATAGACCAGAGGAGGAGGCAGATGTCCAAGTCAGAGTAGAGGTGTTGGCTGGGGAGCCTTGGGAGCAGAGAGGGCTGACAGCTCCTTCACATGGGCATGGAGCTGGGATTCAGCAAAGAGGGACCAGTGGTTTATCCTGGGCATAGGCAGGCTGATGAAATGTGTGCCTAGGAAGGAGAATAAATAAAGGATCTGCAGAAGCTGTTCTGTGTCCACCATTCGAGGCACTGTGCATGTTTGAGATGAGAGTGGGACACAGAGAGTAAGGTCAGCAGTTTGAGGGATTTAATAAAAAACAGATACTGACAGTTTGAATGGAGGACCAGCCAGAAAAGAATGCCTCCTATCTTATTTATGTCTAAGTATGGCATATGAGTAAGCATCTCCTGGCAAATGTGGGGAAAGCAGATTCTGCTGAGTTTTGAGCTGGGAAGAAATAGTAAATGGGAGTTAATGGTATAGGAGGTCTTTATTAGTAATTAAGACATATAAAGCATCACTGACATGCTCTGTATTTAATTATTTGTTTTAATGACTTCTAAAATCCTTTTATAGTGGCTTTTATAAGTTCAGTTCTGACCTTAGTCTGTAGTCACTTTGTGCCCATAAAGTTTGAAGTTCGATAGCAGATGTTTCTAATTTGGAGTTTCAAAAGGCCTTCAGTTAGTGATTGGGAAAGGACTATATATTAGCTGTCAAAAAAAGTTATCTAGATAACCCATGTTCTGAGAATTCAGATACAATTGTCAGAGCCCCATTTATTTTTCGAGTGCTTTCCTACTGGAATCAGTAATGGGCATTTATATACATGATCTAATTTCATTTTCACTATAATTCCAGGAATGGGTATTCTTTTTTCTTTTTTTTTTCTTTTTTTTTTTGAGACGGAGTCTCGCTCAGTGCCCAGGCTGGAGTGCAGTGGCGTGATCTCGGCTCACTGCAAGCTCCGCCACCAGGAGTTCGAGACTAGCCTGGCCAACCTGGTGAAACTCTGTCTACTAAAAATACAAAAAAGTTAGCCAGGCGTGGTGGCAGGTGCCTGTAATCCCAGCTACTTGGGAGGCTGAGGCAGGAGAATCACTTGAACCTGGGAGGCGGAGGTTGCAGTGAGCCGAGATCATGCCATTGCACTCCAGCCTGGGCAACAGAGTGAGACTCAGTCTCCAACAACAAAAAAAAAACAAAGAAAGTTTAAATGATTTTATCAGGATCACAGAGCCCATAGTGGTAGCAGGGCCAGGGTTTGAAGTCAGGACAGTCATGCTTAAAGCATTTCTCTTTAACCAGCCAGGGCTCTTGGAGAGGGTGGGCTTTGAAGATGATGCCTCCTCATGCCAGACTACCCTGAGGTGGATGCCTCCTGCAGCCCTGCCCAGGTGTGACGAGGGCCAGTGGGGGAAAGAGGATGGCCATAGGTGCTGACCCCTTGGCTTTGGGGGCAGGAGCGGGAGATGGAGCTGCGGCGGCAGGCCCTGGAGGAGGAGCGGCGGAGGCGTGAGCAGGTAGAACGGAGGCTACAGAGTGAGAGTGCCCGGAGGCAGCAGCTGGTGGAGAAGGAGGTCAAGATGCGGGAGAAACAATTTTCCCAGGTGAATGGGCGGTGGAGCACAGTGGTGGTTGGCTTGATGGTGAGGGCTGTAGAGAAGTGGGGAGACCCCAGGGTTTCTGTGTTGGGCTGTAAGACCTGTTCTACTCCAGAAAAGATTGCTGTTGGCTTAACACAAGCAGAATTCTACCTGGGACTCATTGACCCCAAAACATAGACCTACCAGGACTGTTCAAATGTGTGTGTGTGTGCTGGGGTAGTGGCTTGTAAGGATGTGACAGGCCACCTTGCAGACATCCAGGGTCAGAGAAGAGGGTCTGGATAGGTGTCCCAGAGATGGGAGCTGGTAGTCAAGAATCAGAGTGGCTCCCCTTGGCCTCTCCAGGGCTTCAGATCTGCTTCATGAGCCTGCATTGCACCTTCCCTTCTGCTTCCCCTGCTGCCCTTCCTGCATGTGGAACTTCAGGGTGTGCTGCCCCACACCCTACAGGACCTTTCATCTCCAGTCCCCATCATCAGTGGATGACCTCACTCTGACTTTTGGTTTACGTCTCCAAGACAGAACTGTACTAGTTTCTCTTCGGGACAGAAATCCCTCCTTGCCCAAAAGCCAGCCCTACCCTTTCTCCTTAAACAGGAGACTTGAGCAGAACAATTGAAAGCAGAAGGAGAAATTGGTTTGGGCTGGGAAATCTGCCCATGTCTCTGGTCCCAAATCCTGACTCCTACAACCCCCCATGAGAATCTGTAGGACTTAGATAGGCTGTCCCTTCTGATTAGGTCTCTGTAGGCTTCCCCAGGTTGGGAGTCCCGTGGAATCTTTCCCAAGCAGTGATCACAGCTCCCTCATTTCCTACAATGCAACAAAATAAATTCTAAGGGATAGGTCAACTGGATTGGGTTTGGGAAATAATGAGAAGGGGCTGGGCACAGTGGCTCACACCTGTAATCCCAGCACTTTGGGAGGCCAAGGTACACAGATCACTTGAGGCCAGGAGTTCAGAGACCAGCCTGGCCAACATGGCGAAACCCCATCACTACAAAAAATACAAAAATTAGCTGGACATGGTATCACACACCTGTAATCCCAGCTTACTCTGATGGCTGAGGCATGAGAATTGCTTGAATCCAGGAGGTGAAGGTTGCAGTGAGCTGAGATCGTGCCACTGCACTCCAGCCTGGATGACGGAGTGAAATTCTGTCTCAGGAAAAAAAAACAAACAACAACAAAAAAAATGAAGCTCTGTGAATTTTACCCCTGTGGTTGGAATATTTGTAAAATGCCTGGTTTCCCTTTCCTGCTTCAGTCAGTGACTGCTCTGGGAGTCTGTCTTCTAGCCCCTGTCCTGGGGCTCAGGCATTGCAGCAGTGGCCACTGGTGTCTGGTGTGGGAGATGGGTAGAATCAGCTACCTATGGGGTTGTGTGTTTTGTTTTTTCTTTAAATAATGTGTGATGTTTCCTGGCCATTTTAATGTTCTTCTAGGAAAGGAAGAGTAGAAAAATATTCCAGCTGACTGAAAATTCTAGTTAGTATCAGAGGTAGAGTAAACCTTAGTAATTACCTAGTTCAAAGCCCGTGTTTTACATGGAAGGAAACTGAGGCCCAGAGAAGGGATGTGACCCAAACAAGGTCCCATGGGAAGTCAGAGACTAGATTTCTTATTGGGCTTTTCTTCCCAGAGCATGTTCTTTTCTGGCCTTTTGCTTTATTCTGTTTGGCTCAGGAGGGAAAGGAGGGACAGGGCAAGACAAAGATGCCGTGTCTTGGTCATAGGTGGGAAAACTGAGGCACAGAGTGACTTCGCAATTTGCCTGGCCCTAGATAGAGTCAACGTAGGCATGGTAGGTCCCCACTTTTGCCATAAGCCCTGTGGAGCCAGAGTGACCACCATGGGTTGGGGATGGGTGATGTCAGGCTGTTGGGGTTTAGAAGTGAAGCCAAGGGGCCTGGACAGGGAAATAATGAGGGAAGAGAGGAGACTCTCCTGACCCTCCCTCTTGCTCCCAGGCACGACCCCTGACCCGCTACCTGCCAATCCGGAAGGAGGACTTTGACCTGAAGACACATATTGAGTCATCAGGCCATGGTGTTGATACCTGCCTGCACGTGGTGCTCAGCAGCAAGGTACAAGGCGTGTGTGGCCCTGGGGTGCTGGGGAGAGGGAGGACCCCATGGTGAGAGGCACCTCCTGGGTCGTTGGAATAGTGGCGTCAGTCTCTACCCTTATCTAACCAGATCTCTGTCCCAGGACCTGGTGTGCTGGCCTGAAGAGATGTTGGGGACAGTCCCCCATGAATACAGGCACAGGCGATGGCACACACTTAAGGCTTAAGGGCTGCACATTTGGGTCCTTCCTTACTCCTGCTTCCCACCAGGTCTGCCGTGGCTACTTAGTCAAGATGGGCGGCAAGATTAAATCATGGAAGAAGCGCTGGTTTGTCTTCGACCGGCTCAAGCGCACCCTTTCCTATTATGTAGGTGAGTTCCAACAAGGCCGTCCCGGGGGCCAGCCAGGACCCCTGGGCTCTGTTACCCAGGTTGGCTGGCCTTCTAGAAGGAGGCCAAGCTTCCAAGTAGGGGACCAGAGGCTTGGACTGGGCCTTGCCCTCCTTCCCTGAAATATACACAATGTACCTGGTTCACCTCCATTTAGTGTTCATTCATTCATTCCTTCATTCAGCAATGTTACTAAGCATCTAATAAGTTCCAGGCACTGTTCTAGGCTCTGGTGATAAGTAAGATGGCCACAGCTCTCTCATGGAGCTTATAGTCGGGGAAGCAGACAAGAATTATAACAATGCACAATGGGTATGCTGATAGGAGACATCCAGACTCTGCAGGAGCATGGGGTCTTATGGTCGGAGTTGGGCTGGGAACTCCCCCTTGGACAGATTCCATCAAAGACTCCAAGACAAGCAGTTGAACAGTGCCAAGGAGTGCTCAAGATAGCCCAGGAACAGGCCGACTAGACCCTCTTGCGCCGTCAGCTCTCTCCATTCGAGCCTCTAGCCTAGTTTCCCATCCCTGGAACTCCCTTTGTACTTTTCCCACTTGGAGCGTGGGATGCTGTGTTATACCCTAGTCAGGAGAAGGTAAGGTATGCCGCAGTAACAAGAAGTCATAAAATCCCAGTGGCTGTACAGGTGCAGTGGCTCACACCTGTGATCCCAGCATTTTGGGAGACCAAGGCGGGCAAATAGCTTGAAGCTAGGAGATTGAGACCAGCCTGGGCAACATGGTGAAACCTTGTCTCTACTAAAAGTACAAAAATTAGCTGGGCATGGTGGCATGCGCCTGTAGTCCCAGCTACTCAGGAGGCTGAGCACGAGAATTGCTTGAACCCAAGAGACAGAGGTTGCAGTGAGCCAAGATTGCACCACTGCACTCCAGCCTGGACAACAGAGTGAGACTCTGTCTCAAAAAAATTAATTAAAAGGCCGGGCATGGTGGCTTATGCCTGTAATCCCCGCACTTTTGAGAGGCCGAAGTGGGCAGATCACATGCTCAAGAGATCGAGACCATCCTGGCCAACATGGTGAAACCCCGTCTCTACTAAAAATACAAAAATTAGCTGAGCATGGTGGCACATGCCTGTAGTCCCAGCTACTCAGGAGGCTGAGGCAGGAGAATCACTTAAACCCGGGAGGTAGAGGTTGCAGTGAGCTGAGATCATGCCACTGCACTCTAGCCTGGTGATAGAGCAAGACGCCATCTCAAAAAAAAAAAAAAAAGAAATATTAAAAAGGAAAATCCTAGTGGCTTACAAGTACTAGGTTTCCTTATGCCCGATACATGTGGACTGCACATTGTGAGTTGGTGGGGGCTCTGCCCTGCATCAGTGTTGTCTTTACTTCAGCATGCCTTTTGGGAACATTTCTGGCCACAGTGGCATAGGGAAAGAGAGGCTTAAGTGAGCCTGGCCTTGGTATTAAATGTCTCAGCTGGGAAGTGACACACATCATTTTTGTCCACAATTCATAGGTGGGGCTGTCTGCCAGTCACACAGCCTCACCCAGCCACAGAGCTGGGAAGAGCAATCCTGCTAGGAGCTCAGAAGAGGGGAAAGGGCTGCAGAGTTTGGTGCCAGAGATGCTCAGGTCTGGAGTGCCCATTTCCCCCCTAACCTGGTCCCTGATCACCTGCTGGCTCCTCTAAGAAGCCTTCCCTGACCAGCCTGGATCCTGGGTGTTTTGAGGAGGCAGGAGAGACAGAAGCACAGGTGTCCCATGTTTCTCTCTGCGCCAGGAAGGTAGAGGGACTAGGGACTTTGGAGAGGAAGAAACAGGCCTGGGGAAAAGAGTTCCATTTGAGGCATGTTGAGATTGAGGTGCCTCTGGGACATCTAGGTTTAGGAGGATGGTCAGGATTAGAGGTGGAGTAATAGTTGAATCAGGTGGAATAATAGTAATAGCAGATAACCTTTATCAAGCACTTGAATGAGCCAGGTGCTATGCTAAGCACTCTGAATGCATCATCTCATTAATCTTTGAAATAATCCTATAGGGAAACACTATTTTTATGCCATTTTACAGATGAGGAAAATGATGCTCAGAGAAGTTAAGTAAATTGCCCAAGGTCCCACAGCTCCTAAGAGACAGAGATAAGTCTGAACCTGGGCAGTCAGGCTTCAGAGCAGAGAAGAGGGGAGGGAGAGGGCCGAACCCTGGGGCAGGCCTACCTGTGTGGGGAAGGAGAAAGAGGAGAGACCAGCAGAGGGAGAAGGGGCAGGAGACAGGAAGCCAGCACTAACCACATGCCAGGTGCTGGGCTGGTGCTTGGCATATGTGGCCTTAGTTAGCGTCTGTGAAACAAAAGGAGACCAAGTTCAGATGGCAGGAATAGAAATGGGAGCAGAAACAGGGAAGGAAGCCAGCCAAAGGAGCAGACATTCACAAGCAGGAGGTGTCACCAGCGATGATGGATGCTGCAGAAAGGCCAAGAAAGATGTGGCCCAAAGGCTGTTAGACTCAGGGATGGGAGCTTGTCAAGAGAAGGCTTTCTGCTGTGCATGGGGCCAGGAGCCAGATTGCACAAGATTGAGGATAGGTGGGTGGTAAGGAAGCGGAGGCAGGAGTGTGTTACTATTTCCTGTGAAGGAAGGGATGAAAGAGAACAGGGGCTGGAGGGCTGAGCAGGCCCAGAGCCAGGCAAAGCTGGTCCTTTTCCAAGGAGGAAATGTCAGAAATGGGCCTGGATAAGGGCCCTGGGTGCCGTGCCTGTTCCGCTTGGACCCTCTTCCTGCCAACTCGATAGAAACCCCCTCAGTGCATGGAGTCCAGATTACATATTATCTCTAGGAAGCCTTTCCTGACCCCACCTTACTAGGAGTGATTCCCATCCTCCTCTGAACCCCTGCATTATCCAGCATCTGTTTTTCCATGTGACATCAATCCAGGAGTGTAATGATATAATAACAGTGTCATGTTATGTGCCGCACACTGTGCTGAATACCTTAAATGTGTTCTTTCATTTAATACTCATGAAAACCTGTGATGCGTAGGTGGTCTCATGGAGTTCCTAGCCATGCCTTTACTAGCTATTTACATAGCTGAGTGTCTGTATTTTCCTCCCTGTGAGACTGTAGTTTCCTAAGAGAAGGGTCTCTGACTTCTCTCTGAATCCCGGTGTCTAGGATTCATTCATTCAGCATTGAGTACCTACTGTGTGCCAGGCACATAGTTGTTTGTGTTGGGGGAGGTAGACCATGAATGGATAAAGGAGGATTCCGATGCAGCATCAGTTCTATACAGAGGGGCATCTGTGCTGTGGGAACACAGGAGAGCACAACTGTGCACTGTCATGGTGACATTTTGCGATGGGTCTTGAAGATTGTTTAGGAGTTTGCTAAGGAAATGGGCTGGAGGAGACAGTTCCAGCATACAAAGTGTATTACTAAGGGAACAGTGAGAAGCTCAGATAGGACTTGGGACTCATGCAGGGGAAGGTTGTGATACAAGGCTGGAGGGACATGTTGGCACCAGTCTGTAAGTTGCCTTTACCAAGCCATGGAGGTTGGGGAGAGGAGGAGCACTCGGGGAGGAGCTTACTTGCAGCCGGCACCTTTGAGTTTAGTGATTGGCGTGACCTCTCCTGTAGGACTCAGGCTCACTGTTAAGGATATCAGCTGTAGCATCTGAGCAGTGCCACAGACAAGGTGGCCCAGGCCCTGTGCTTTCCCTTGACAGGAATCCTGCCCCTTCTCACTGAATGGTCACCTCTGCTCAGGTAGTTTGCCCCTTTCCTGCCACCTCTGACTTCCAGAGGCTATATGCTATATGTATATGCTAAATGCTCTGTACACATCAAGGGAGTGTGCTTCCTTTCTTTTTATTTTATTTTATTTTATTTATTTATTATTTTATTATTTTGAGACGGAGTTTTGTTCTTGTTGCCCAGGCTGGAGTGCAGTGGCGCGATCTCGGCTCACCACAACCTCCGCCTCCCAGGTTCAAGTGATTCTCCTGCCTCAGCCTTCCGAGTAGCTGGGATTACAGGCATGCGCCACCATGCCTGGCTAATTTTGTATTTTTAGTAGAGATGGGGTTTCTCCATGTTGGTCAGGCTTGTCTCAAACTCCCGACCTCAGGTGATCCACCTGCCTCGGCCTCCCAAAGTGCTGGGATTACAGGCCTGAGCCACCGCACCCGGCTACTTCCTTTCTTTTTTAAAAAAAAATAGGTAGCCGGGCGCGGTGGCTCAAGCCTGTAATCCCAGCACTTTGGGAGGCCGAGGCGGGTGGATCACAAGGTCAGGAGTTCAAGACCAGCCTGGCCAAGACAGTGAAACCCTCTCTACTAAAAATACAAAAAAATTAGCCAGGCATGGTGGCGGGCGCCTGTAATCCCAGATACTCAGGAGGCTGAGTCAGAGAACTGCTTGAACCTGGAAGGCGGAGGTTACAGTGAGCCGAGATCGTGCCACTGCACTCCAGTCTGGGCAACAGAGTGAAACTCCGTCTCAAAAAAAAAAAAAAAAAGGTAAAAGTATTCATATAGTTCAAAAATAAAAAATATATAAAAAGGTTTAAATTGAGAATTATGCCCCACCCAGTACAGGTAACTACTTTTATTAATCTCTTGTGTATCCTTGTAGAGTTTCTTTTTTTTTTTTTTGAGACAGAGTCTTGCTCTGTGCCCTAGGCTGGAGTGCAGTGGTGCAATCTCGGCTCACTGCAAGCTCCGCCCCCCCGGGTTGACGCCATTCTCCTGCCTCAGCCTCCTGAGTAGCTGGGACTACAGGCGCCCGCCACCTCGCCCAGCTAATTTTCTTGTATTTTTAGTAGAGACTGGGTTTCACCGTGTTAGCCGGTGTCTCGATCTCCTGACCTCGTGATCCGCCCGCCTCGGCCTCCCAAAGTGCTGGGATTACAGGCTTGAGCCACCGCACCCGGCCCCTTGTAGAGTTTCTGTAGGAGAATATAAACAAATACTTTTTCTTGCACAAAAGGTGGCATACAGTACATTCCTTTTTCACCTCCTAATGTGTCTTAGAGATCATTCTATATCAAATTTATCTATATCTAGATATTATATCTGGGTATATACTATAGGCTTATTTCTGAGTCTGTATCTGTATCAGATATTTCTTTCTTTCTTTTTTTTTTTTTTTTTGCTCTTTTTGCCCAGGCTGGAGTGCAGTGGTGTGATCTCGGTTCACTGCAACCTACGCCTCCCGGGTTCAAGTGATTCTCCTGCCTCAGCCTCCCGAATAGCTGGGATTATAGGCATGCACCACCACACTTGGCTTATTTTTGCATTTTGAGTAGAGACGGGGGTTTCACCATGTTGGCCAGGCTGGTCTCGAACTCCTGACCTCAGGTGATCCACCCTCCTCGGCCTTCCAAAATGCTAGGATTACAGGCATGAGCCACCATACCTGGCCTATATCATTTTACTTAACAGCTGTATTTAGTCTTCTGTGATGTGGCACACACTAACTTATTAACCAGTCTCCACTTGATTGATATTTTGGTTGTTTCCAATCTTCTGTGACTATAGACAATACTATACTTAATAATCTTGTATATGTTACTTTGTTTATGTGAAAGAGAAATTCTCCTAAATGTAAGCATTGGATCAAAAGATAAATGCCTTTCTAATTTTGATAGACATGGCCAAATCGTTCATAAGGGTTTTACCAATTTATACTCCCACCTGTCGTTAGACTACCTCCTTCACCACAGACTTGCCAAAAGCGTGCTGTATATTTATTGTATGTTTTCGTCATTGGGTTAGGCGAGAAGTAGTCTCTCAGTGAAGCTCTGATTTGTATTTCTCTGTGATTATGAATGAGGCTGAGCATTATCCGTATCTTTAGGATTCTGTATTGGGTTCTGTTTGGGGGTCTTGGGAGACTGGGATCTTCACCCCATTTCCCAGATTTGGAAGCTCAGGCCGTGGAACTCCACATAAATGGAGCTAGACCTGAAGTGTGACTGGCTCCATAGCCCACCCTTACTTGCTTTGCAGACAAGCATGAGACGAAGCTGAAGGGAGTCATCTATTTCCAGGCCATTGAGGAAGTGTACTACGACCACCTGCGCAGTGCAGCCAAGGTCAGGGGTGGAGGGCACCAGAGGGGGGCCAGAGGGACAGCCATGGGGAAGGGGTGGCCTGGTGGGGCTCTGGGAGCAAAGGCCTCCAGCCTGCTCTCTACAGAGGCTCCAACCCAGTCCTTGTTCTCTTTGTCAACTTTCTCTTCCTTTCTCCCTCTCCCCTTCCCAGAAGAGGTTTTTCCGCTTCACTATGGTGACTGAGGTACCCCTCCCCACTTAGCTGTAACCAGCACATTAACACCTCCTGTACCTCACTCATCCCTGACCCTTGACTCTCCCCTTCATTCCCCCTCACTTCCCCCAGGCCCAAGAGAGGAGCAGAAAGCAGGTTGCAAAGAGCAAGAAGCTCCTCTGGGCTTGGGTGCCTCCCTCTCCTTGCTGCCTCCCTCCTCTCCTGGAAATGACAGCAGGATATCTCCCCATGGGGGGCTGATACAGAAGGGATGGCTGGAAGGGGTGGAGGGGACCCTCAGAGACTAGATTTGATAGGGAGAAATTGATACACAGGAGATATCTGAGGCTGGGGCCTGCTTCCCTAATGCAAGTCAGCCTCCCTGCCACCAACCCTCTGATGCCCACCCCAGTCCTGGTCTCTGCTCCTCTGGGGTCCCGGGGCCTAGTACCCTACTTATTGCTTTTTCTGTCTGCCCGTGTTTTGCTGAGAGGAAACTCTGGTCCTCACTGGAATAGCCCTTTGTGTCTGATCCTCTTGATACTCACTTTTGAACTTGGGGTGTCAAGGACCAGAGCCCCCCGTGTCAGGGTATAGCTCTGTCAGGGTCCAGGGAGTTTAGAGAGCCCAGGACTGCTGTGGTGTGAGAAGGGAACATTTCAGCCTGGGGCTCACATGGACTGGTGGGGACTAGGCTCTGGGCCTATTTAGGACTCAGTCCTAAGCTCCAGGGCTTTCTGGGGGCTGGGAGGGGAAAGGGCAGATAGGGAGGCAGGTGAGACTATTCCTGGGCATGGGTGAGCCCCATCTTAGACCTTCTTCTCTTCCCTTGGCAGAGCCCAAACCCAGCCCTCACCTTCTGCGTGAAGACCCATGACCGGCTGTACTACATGGTGGCCCCATCTGCAGAGGCCATGCGCATCTGGATGGATGTCATCGTCACAGGGGCTGAGGGCTACACTCAGTTCATGAACTAACTGCTGTGGGCCTCCTGGCAGAGCACAACTGAGGCTTTTGTATAAGAAGACTTTAATATTCTGTAAAGAGCTTGGTCCTGTGAGTTTCTGGGCTCTGGCCTCCTGAAGAACCAGCCAGAAGAAGAAAAGTGGAAGTGGCTTTGCTGCCTCCTGGGAGCCCAGAACTTGCAGTAACCCTTTAGGGTCCTGTCTCGGGCCCAGCCAGGGCTGAGGAGCTGTTACAGAGAGGGCCTCAGCTCCGACCTGACACCTGCTCTCCCCAGCCTGTTTTCTCTTTTCTAAAAGACAAATTATGGTACCATAAGCTGCCAAAGATCCCCTCCTGCCTCAGACCCCTTTGCCAGGGGCTTTGGGGGCTAAGCAGAACCACATCCAGAGTGGGGTAATAGCTCAGGCAGCCCACTTCCCACTTCTCAAACCCCACTCTGCCCCATTGTTCTCCTTTCCCATATCCTTTGTATCACCTTGCTCAAGGGCCAGAGATCTCAAGTGTCATCCTTGAGGTCCCAGCTCCATCCCCTAGTTGCAGACCCATCACCATGGTTACCATAGCGACTGCTTCATTGCCATGGTTACATACTAATTGCTGCAGTTCTGTGGCCCAGCCCACTGCTTCAGCTATGGGCCATCTGAGGGTACGTGCCATCATCTCTCCAGCCCAGGCCCCTGGGCATCTCATGCTGGGGGAAAGGGACTGAACACCTGTTCCCTGCCCCATGCCTGTGTCTTCAGCCCTTATGCACAGCCTGCCAGCCCCCCAGTCCAGCCCTCTCCCTTCCACTGGTGCCTTGCTTAGAGCCAGAAGGGATGAAGCCGGGGGATCTAGGGAACAGAGGAGGAGCAATGCGGTTGGGAGGGGAAGCTAGAAAGGTTATAGTTGAGTTCTGTACAGGGTCGAGTTTCCGACAGGGAAAGAGGATTCCTCTGATGCTCCTAGAGGGAAAGCCTGAGCAGGAGATGATGCAGCAGAGGGGAAGGGCCCTGTGGTGCCACTGCCCTTCCTTCAGCCTCCGAAGGGCGATGGAAATGGAGAGTGGAGGACCAGGCCTCCAGCTGTCCGGCCTCGCCCTTCACGCCTTAACACAAAGCCCACCTCCCCTTCTCTCCTTCCCAGCATTGAGCCCTTGGTTGCGTGGGCCCAGGCTGGGGGTTTTCAGTATTTGTAAGCATTTCAGCAGAACAATAAAGCCTTTGGACTACGGAAGTAAGTGGAAGGCCGGAGGTGTGGGACTTGGCGCTGGGGCACTTGGGGTAGGAGGGATAGGTCTTCCCCCTAGAGCAGGATTTCCACCCTGTTCAAGGTTCCAGGAGGGAGCTAGGCCCTAACCCATGACCTCCAGGTCATGAACCTGCCCCCTACTTCACTCTGAGGACAGGCTGGGAGGTAGGAGGGCATGAAGAGGCAGGGGAAGATGGGAACTGGTGCAGAGGTTTAATGGGACAGGAGCTGGGGCCAGGTGAAGAGGGGAGGGCTGTCACCGTGACAGGAGGCTGAACAGGAGGCTGGGCAGAAGGGTGGCCGCCAGGCAGTGGGGCTCCAGGAAAGCCAGCTGGGCCCCTGAGGTCAGCCGGTCACCATAGCGGTCCAGCAGCATCAGGACCACGCCATTCGTCCAGCCAAAGCCCTCCTGGGAGAGGCAGGGCAGTGGGGCCCGGTTTCTGGGGAAGCCCCAGACCCTTGGTGGGGGCTGTGGGCTCTCTCCCCAGGGGCACTGGCCCTGCCTAACCCCAGCAGTACAGGAAGCACCAGTCAGCTCGTCCCCTGGGCCGACATGCAGGTGAGCACACTGAGGCCTGGGGTGGGGGTCGTGGGCAGCAGAGCCCAGGAGTTCCCTGTAGGGCGATGGCCAGCCCGCCCCTGGCCTGCTCACCTGAACTTCATACTCTCCTCCCCCACCAGGCTGTCCACCGTTGCTGATGTCATACTGGGGACAAGCGGGTGGGGTGTAGGTCAGGCACTGCCCCCAGCTCCAGGAACAACAAACAACCGGAGCCCTTGGGGAGAAGCTGCTCTGCCTGCCCAGCAGCCCCTGCAGTGCCCAGGAGCGGCCACTGGGTGCCGCCACCATCCCAGCTGTGCTGGCCCTGGGCCCTGCTGCCAAGCTTGACCCACCTCAACACTGGGACGCCCTGGGGGTGGCGGGAGGGCTCAGGCCAGCTCACCTTCTCATACATGGCTGACTTTTGCGAGTAGACATCAAAGTTGGTTCGGATCCAATTCTGAGCCAGCTGGAAAGCCACTTCCTGGGCCCGAGGTAAAGGTGCCTTGGCCAGGCCTAGACCCCATCGCAGGCAGGACTCAACCTCCAGGTCTCCCATCCCAGACAGAGCAGAGGCTGCACCCTACTCTCCCCAAGGAGGGAAAGAGGCCTGGGTCCTAAGACTTCCTTTCTGAGACCACGGGCCAAACTGCCCTTAATCGAGGGCGCTGGTTTGAAGGGCAAACAGGACTGATTGCACTGGACAGGTCGGGTGGACATAAATGTTTGCCGAGTGGAGGCCAGGAGAGCAGAGGAGTGAGAGAAAGGACACGGGGCCTGCATCTTTTGTTAACGCCTCCCCAGCACCAGGGAGGCCCACCTCTACACCCTGGGGAGGGCCCTTGGCTGTGCCAGCCCTGCCTCCTTACCTCTGATGACCAGGTCCTGCAGGGGGGCCCAGGCATTGGGGGAATCCCACTGCTGGCCTGTCTTCTGGAGAGAGGTCGGGATTCCATACTGGTAAGTCAGGATCCGGCTGTCCTAGAAAGTCCCAGACATTCCCATGACTGTGAGTGGGGCTGGACTGGGAGCCAGGACAGGATACTGGGCCCCACAGGAAGCCAGATGTCCCCTTCTTGACTCTTTTCTTCTTGGCTCACAGCTGAGCCCCGGTGGCTCTGCAGGACCCGCAGGCTGGGACAAGAGGCACAGCCGGAAGAAGCGGCCTCCCCTGCAGGTCCTGCTCAGGGTCGGGAGGGGGCGGTGCTGCCTGCAGTGGACCCAAGCCACCTGCTGTGTCCTCACCTCCAGGTATTTCAGAGCCTTGTCCGCCACACCAGGGTCAGAGAAACACCCAGCCCAGAGTGGAGTGAGGTTGGATGGGTAAAACTCTTGGTTCTTCTTCTTGTTCTCAAGGTCGTAGTCGAACCAGGCACCGGTCTCCTCATCCCACAGGACTGCATTCAGGGCGGCCAAGCGCTGCGCCCGCAGGGTTCTGTACTTTGTGGCCTGGGAGTCGTTGCCTGGGGTAATGCTGCTTTTAGACCCAGTAGCCAGCACCCTGCCTGCGGGCCCCAAGCCCTTCGTGGCTCTACTTTGGCCTCCACCCTTTGTGTTTCTCTGCAAGGGCTAAGACACCCTGATGACCAAGGGGATGTGCCGACCTGGAACCGACCACACTTCTGGTCTCTAGGTCCTGGAATTTCCTGAGCATATGGCCCCACACTGCTCCCAGGGAACCACTGGAGCTGATCTGTCCCAGGGTCTATCCTCCCAAGGGTATTGGCTGAGTGGATTCCCCTAGCTCTCAGGGGGTCAAGAACAGCTGTCTGAGGAGAGGGAGTGGATGGATTTTGGATATGTGGACTAGGGTTCCCCTCACAGACCCTAGAGACCCTCACAGTAAGAAAGGGAGGAAGAGGGGATTAGGGTGGGCTCCGTTTGTCCTCTTGTCTGGTACACAAATGTGAGTGCAGGCGTCCACTAGGGCGGGGCTCGACAGGCTGGGTTGCTGAAGGCCTGTCACCCCAGGGTCCTACTTCCAGTTCTATTGCCAAGTCTGAGGCAGGAAACCAGACTCCCTGCTTACCCTTCCCTCCTGGGGTGCTCACCCAGCCTGGAATAGAATTTGCTCATCAGCTCCTCTGCTTGGCATAGGAAGGCATTCAGGTCAACAGGCACCAGTTTGCTGGTTCGGATGCCACTAAGCGAGTTGGGGTTTGGGCCTCCGATGAGCCAGCGTGAAGAGAAGTCCCAGCCAGACTCGGCCCCAGCCTTGAGCTCAGCCCACAGAGCCTCCCGGTCTCCTGTGAGGACACAGCAGGGAACCCAGCCAGTCCCGCCTGCAGGATAGGCAGCCAATGACAGGAGACCAGAGCCTGACACAGAGGTGCTCAGCCGCCCTGCCCCCAGCCCTCCCTCACCCTGCTGCTGCTCACCTTCCGGCAAGGTGTCAGCCAACTCTGCGTCTTTGCTGTAGGACTCAGGCCTGGCAAAGAGGAGAGGTGGGCAGCCCGGCACTAGTAGCTACTAAGCCCCTCTGTGGTCAAGAGGAGGCTGAGCCATCTTGATCCAACTGCCCTTGGGCCCCCACAGCCCAGGATTGCAGAGGGCTCTCGGTGTCACCATCTGAGAGGTCAGGCTAAGTCACTCCTCCTCCTGCCCGGGGCATTGTGATGCTCTAACCAGAGTGAGCAGGTAAGAGATTGAGGGGTGGGCTGTGCAGTTCCTCACCTGGGTCCCCCGTAAGGGACATAATAGCGATTCAGGAGGTAGTTCTTTCCTTCTAAGCTCACAGAGACAGTCCTGTTCTTGGTCCAAAAGTCCAATTCCAAGGCTAGCGTCTCAATGTTCTCCCTGGAGTGAAGCAGACAACACCTCAGCCCAGGCGCGCTGCCCATCCCCAGCCCTGAGAGGTCTGAGGTGGGGGGTGGGTCTGCAGAGCAGCACAAGAAGGGTGGTACCCACTGTAGGAAGGTGGTGTCGTTGGTGTGAGTCAGGTAGCAATCCATCATGAGGGTCAAGAGTGGGGGCTGGCTCCGCTGCAGGTAGTACACGCGCCCGCCATTGGGGACATGCCCATAGCTGCCAAGAGGAAGGCCTGCTGAGATGCCTTCTCCCCAGCAACTGGCACCAAGGCAATCCAGCTCCAGGCCTATGGCACACCTGCCAATCCTCCCCACCTAGGCTGGAAGTGCCTGGCCCCCTCTCACGTTTTCACCAGGTCCAAGAAGTTCTGCAGCATGCCCTTCACCGTCTCAGCCATCTCCGAGAGGAGCAGACCCTCCATGACCCAGTAGGAGTCCCTGGGGAAGGGGCAGCTTAGGCACCACCCTACTGTCTCCCTCTGCCCTGCACACCAGCCAGTGGGGCACTCTGCCCTGCTCAAGACACCCTGCTGGCCCTGGGTTTCTGCACCACTGCCAGTCCTGCAGGCCCCCTGGTCTCTCAGGCCTGGGTGCTCACCAGTAGTAGAACTCCACAAAGCGACCGCCAGGCACAATGAAGGGGTGTTCTGAGTAGATGAGAGAGAACCGTTCAGGGTGGCTGAGAACCTCTGGCTTCATCTGGAATTAGAAGAGAGGGCAAGGGGAGCCTAGAATCCCCATGGAAGCAGAGGCCGCAGGCAGCTGGGGAATCTGAGGCCCCGGAAGTCACAGGCTTTGGAGCCAGGCAGTTGGGTTCAGCTCTGGCTCCCCTGCTGCTCAGCCATGTGATAAAGGCCTGGCCGCTGGGAGCCCTGGGGTCCTCATCTGTCACCTTCTGGCCTTGGGAGTCCTGGCTCAACTTGGTGCCAGGTAGAAGACCCGACCACTCAGCCAGGCACTGGGCAGGTATCCACCAAGCAGCGGCCATTACAAAGACCCAGGGTGGGCTGGGTGGGTAAGGGGGTGCCAGCCCCCCATTTCCCCTCTACTCCCCATCCTTGCTGCCACCACCCAACCAGGTTCAGAGGATTGTCCCATCACCCCCATTCTCTGAGCCAGGTAGGGGTAAAACCCCAAACCCTTTCCCCAGGTGAGGGGATATAGATGAGCAAAGTAGCTCAGGACAGGGCTGAGCACAGGGCCTGGCCCCAAGCAGCAGTAGCAGTGACTCTTCCTGAGATGGAGGCCTCCTGAGAAGGAGCTCAGGGAAGGAGACAGCCCAGCAGGCAGTGAACATCTACCCAGTACTGGGCAGCCTGGAGGTGGCAGGGCAGGCTGGGGTTTCCTGGGGAGGCTGGGGAGCCTTCCTGGAGGAGGGGAGGCATTAGAAGTAGATGCTGCGCTTCTGATCTCAAAAGTTCTTTCTAGAGGGCTTCTATTTGGGGACCCAGGGGTCAGGAACTGGTTTCTCAGAAAAAGAAGCCCGATCTGTGCTCCGGAGACACTGTGGGCCCCAGGCACATTCCTCTCTCCAGTTCCCTTGGCCAGGCCTTGGGCAGGCCCAGGACGCTGATACCTTCTTCCCCAGCTTCTTCCAGAGCTGGTGCAGCTGCCCTGCCCAGACACGTAGTTTG